CTCTGAGCTGGGTTGCTGGGGTGGCCCAGACCATCCCACATGGCCCTGGCTCCCACTGGGAAGGAATGCCCCTCTCTGCACCCTGGGCTCCATGCTGGCTCCCATGGCTGTGCACAGATGTCACTGCCAGGGCAGAGCCAGGCCCAGGGCAGAGCCAGGCCCGGGGCAGAGCCATTGCCGGGGCAGAGCCATTGCCAGGGCAGAGCCAGGCCCGGGGCAGAGCCAGGCCCGGGGCAGAGCCATTGCCAGGGCAGAGCCAGGCCCGGGGCAGAGCCAGGCCCAGGGCAGAGCCAGGCCCGGGGCAGAGCCATTGCCGGGGCAGAGCCATTGCCAGGGCAGAGCCAGGCCCGGGGCAGAGCCAGGCCCGGGGCAGAGCCATTGCCGGGGCAGAGCCAGGCCCGGGGCAAAGCCATTGCCAGGGCAGAGCCAGGCCCGGGGCAGAGCCAGGCCCAGGGCAGAGCCATTGCCAGGGCAGAGCCAGGCCCGGGGCAGAGCCATTGCCAGGGCAGAGCCAGGCCCGGGGCAGAGCCATTGCCGGGGCAGAGCCATTGCCAGGGCAGAGCCATTGCCAGGGCAGAGCCAGGCCCGGGGCAGAGCCAGGCCCGGGGCAGAGCCATTGCCAGGGCAGAGCCAGGCCCGGGGCAGAGCCAGGCCCGGGGCAGAGCCATTGCCGGGGCAGAGCCAGGCCCGGGGCAGAGCCAGGCCCGGGGCAGAGCCATTGCCGGGGCAGAGCCAGGCCCGGGGCAGAGCCATTGCCAGGGCAGAGCCAGGCCCGGGGCAGAGCCAGGCCCGGGGCAGAGCCATTGCCGGGGCAGAGCCAGGCCCGGGACAGAGCCATTGCCGGGGCAGAGCCAGGCCCGGGGCAGAGCCATTGCCGGGGCAGAGCCAGGCCCGGGGCAGAGCCAGGCCCGGGGCAGAGCCATTGCCGGGGCAGAGCCAGGCCCGGGGCAGAGCCATTGCCGGGGCAGAGCCATTGCCGGGGCAGAGCCAAGCCCGGGGCAGAGCCATTGCCAGGGCAGAGCCAGGCCCGGGGCAGAGCCATTGCCAGGGCAGAGCCATTGCCAGGACAGAGCCATTGCCGGGGCAGAGCCAGGCCCGGGGCAGAGCCATTGCCGGGGCAGAGCCATTGCCGGGGCAGAGCCAGGCCCGGGGCAGAGCCAGGCCCGGGGCAGAGCCATTGCCGGGGCAGTCGGACTCAGAGGCCAAAGGAGGGACAGACAGGGCACCTATGCACAGCCCCTGCCACGAGCTCACAGCAGGCTTTGGGCATCCACAGCACACAGCTCTGTTTTAGTTTTAAACATCAACGGAAAATCTTTACCTCATTCACTAAAAGCTCTTTAATGTCTTTGCACATGAAAAAAAAAAAAAGACTAAAATGTATTAGCAATTTGGATTATTTGATTCAGTCAGCAGGACTGAGAGCACTTGTTTCACTTTGAGTCCAGGTTCAAAGCACTAATCACTAAGTTCTGCATCATTTCCTTTACATTTCATTTCTATGTCATTTTTTCATTCATTAGCTATGAGTGTGAGTGGTGCCAGAGTGCCCTTAGGTGCCCCGCGGGGCACACAGAGTGAGTGGCTCCCGGATCCATCCACACTGAGCTGCTGGACCAATCCAAGCTAAAGGCAAGTCATGCCCAGGCCATTCCTTGGCAGCCAGCTACCGCAGAGATGGCTGGAGGAGGCTGAGGGTCCTTCCATCACCGCGGAGGGTTCCGGTGTTCACCGGGGAGCTGCTGAGGCAGACCCGAGGCACTGTCACCCCGCAGCCCCGCTCCAGGCCCTGGGCAGCACTCCAGCGCTGACAGCAAGGGCTCTGCTGCTCCTCCTCACCTGAGGAGAGCAGGGCTGCCCGGGGCAGCATGGCCACGCAGCCCTCTGTCTGTGTCTGCATTCCGGCAGTTTTTCACTGGAGCAATTCCCTGCCCCGATCCCTGCAGCGGGATGGGGGGAGCCGGTCCCTGCTCAGGCTGGGTCCGTGCCCCAGCCTGGCTCTGCCTTGTGCCCCCGGCCAGCAGCGTCCCGCGGTGCCAGGCACGCCGTGAGCTCCCAGTGCTCACACTCCCCAGCGAAAAGGAATTCCTGCCTTCAGCAGGAAACCAGCACACGCGGCAGCGTGAGCAAGGGTAATTCAAATGCAAATGCTGCAATCGGCCCACAGAACCTAATAAATACATTCAATTTATTGATCACGCTCAGAGTTAATGATTATTACACCTCACCTGGGTAACTGGACCCTCTGGAGAGAATCAGGTATTAATTTCAGTTCAGTCAGTCAGTGGCAGCCCCTGCAGCACTTTTGCCCGGAGGAAAAGGAAAAAGGAGAAAGAAAAAGGAAAAAGAAAAAGGAGAAAGAAAAAGGAAAAAGGAAAAAGGAAAAAGGAAAAAGGAAAAAGGAAAAAGGAAAAAGGAAAAAGGAAAAGGTCCGGTCCCCCCTCCCTGCCCGGGTCGCTCGGCCCGGCCGGGCGCGGAGCGCTGCTGCCCTCTGCTGGCGGCGGGCGGACACTGCGGCACGAGCGGGGCACCGAGCGCACCTGGCGCGCACCTGGCACACACCCGGCGCACACCCGGCGCGCACCCCGCAGAGGCCCCACAGTGTCGCGCACAGCTCCAGGGCCTGGCCAAACTCCGCTCCTCCACACGCACCCGCTGCCCAGGGACCTGCCGGAGCCACCCCCGGGCTCTCCCCCGGGCGGTGCCCAGGATGCTCCCGCGGTGGGTACCGGGCCGGGTCAGAACCGCTGCCAGCTGCTCTCGGTGCTGAGGAGAGCGTGGTGACCAGGACGGGCGTGGCAGCCCAGAGCCCGCCCTGCACTCACCTGCCCTGAGGCTGAGCCCATTAACCGTATTTAAGGAGGGGTAATTAAGGACGGGGTGATGAAGGTCGAGCCCCACCTGCAGCTTGCCCAGCCCTCCCCCTGCCCGTGGTCCACGCAGACCCCGGCTCGAGCAACACCAGCTGTGTCTGCAGCTGCCCCACCTCGGGGATGGATGATGGACGGAATCGGGGCGGTCTCTGTCTCTCCACGCCGCCAAGATGGGAGGGAAGTGAAGCCACGACCCAGCAGCAAAGAAAAAAAACAAAAACAATGGGAAGAAACATAACCCAGCCTGAAGAGTCCAGCGCAGTTCCTCACAGCCTGAGTGCGAAGGGCTCTGGGGCTGTTTGTTCAGAATGGTTTTTATCCCCTCAGCACCCATAAACAGCGCCCAGAGCCCGGCTGCAGGGGCAGGAGACAGTGTCTGTACTGCCCAGGGCAGGGCAGGATGCTGTGGGGCAGAGGAGGGCGTGGGGTGGAGGCACAGGCAAGAGACAGCAAATCTTCTGAAACCACAGACAACGTTTTTGAGAAAAGTTAAGCAGTTTATTCAACAGGATGAGTCCACACCCAACCAGTGGCTTCATCTACATGGCATCACCAGCACACACGAGGACCCACTCAGACACTCTAGCTGACGGCATCTCACCATACGTTACAGAGACAACACCAGAGGAGGAAGAGGAGGAGGAGGATGGCCGGTACGGCGGGCAGCAGCCAGCGTTTCCCACGGCCTCCCGGCACAACCAGCCCCGTCCCCACAGACCTCGCAGCCCAGCCACGCAAAGCAAATCAGACGCGGGACATCTACTGCCGCCCCGCGAGAACCACAACACTGCTAGTTAAATAACACACCTGGGACACAAAAACCACCTACCAGGGACTTCAGCCTAAGGAACAAAGTGCAGTCATGGCCGCCCCGGGCCCGCGCTCAGGCGTGAGGGTCTGTCCAGGGCAGGGTGGGGTGCTGCTGCACTCCCCTCATGGCAGGGCCATGGTGCCACCGTGCTCCCCTCATGGCGGAGACATGGCTGGGATGGATGGGGCAGGGCCCCAGTGCCACCACGCTCCCCTCAGCCCCACAGCAGGGCCATGGCCAGGATGGATGGCAGGGCCACAGTGCCACCATGCTACCCTCAGCCTCATGTCAGGGCCATGGCCATGGCTGTGAGGGGTGGCAGGGCCGTGGTGCCACCATGCTCCCCTCAGCCCCACAGCAGGGCCATGGCCGGGATGGATGGCAGGGCCACAGTGACACCATGCTCCCCACACAGTCCCACAGCAAGGCCATGGTGCCATCGCACTCCCCTCATGGCAAGGCCATCACTGGGCTGGATGGCAGGGCCACCGTGCCACCATGCTCCCCTCAGCCTCATGTCAGGGCGATGGCCACGGCTAGGAGGGGTGGCAGGGCCGCAGTGCCACCACACTCACCACAGCAGGGCCATGGCCACGGCTGGGATGGATGGCAGGGCCGCAGTGCCACCACGCTCCCCTCAGCCCCACAGCAGGGCCAGGACTGGGAGGGATGGCAGGGCTGCAGTGACACCATGCTCCCCTCACGTCAGGGCCATGGCCATGGCCAGCAGGGCTGGGCCGGACGGGGCAGGGCCGCGGGAGCCGGGCCCAGAGCTCGCTCTGCACAGCAGACACAGCTGCCCTGAGCAGCCGCCCTCACACAGCTCAGCCGCCCTGGCTCCGGCGGCAGCTCGGCCGTGGGCTGTCACAGTGAAGCTCTGTGAACTCTGAAGCCCACACACAGTCTGTGCCCTCAGGAAGGTACCGAGGATCGGAGTCAGTCACTCACAAACCATGAGCGAGTTCCAGTTATGATGCTCCTACAACGTATGTGGTTCAATTTTGTGCCAAGTTCGCTTACAGAAAAATACATTTCTTCCCTTAAATTTACAGTAGTTAAAACTACACTTGGAATACCATATTACAAAGGGGGAGTTTATTCTCCAACAAAAAGTCTTGGTTCCCTTTTCATCAAACAGAAAAATGGAAGGACTTTAAAAGCAATCACCCCCAGCACAACACAACTGCCCAGACGAACCCATGTGTGCACAGCCCCCAGGCCTGAACTCCAACCGTTTGTTTTGGTGCTCAAAAAGGCACTTAAAGATAAGAAAACAATTGTATTAAAAACCCACAACAAAACAAAACAAAGGAAAATGAAAGGCAATAATTTAATAGAAAGACACTGGAATTTGTACCGTATGGTCAAAAGTAAGGGAGGAAATAAAACCCCTAATGAAGATGGGTTTGCTCTCAAGTCATCTCAGAAAGCATACAAAAAACAGAAAACTGGCAAAGTGAATGTTCTCCAGGAACTAAATGGAAACAAAAGTAATAATTGCTGGCAATGGATACACAGCACTCGTGCCAAATGGGTCCCTCCCTCCCCAGCACAGGTCCCTGACCAGCCCAGCCTGGCTGAACATCTGCAGCCGCTGTGCCAGGCCGGGCAGTGCCAGGGCTGTGCAGGAAAGGGGCATGATGGAGAAATAAACACCAATGTGAACCAAACACCAAGGACGTTCACAGACACGCACACACACCGTCTGCCCTGCCAGCGTGACAGGGAGGGACATGGGCAGAGCTGCTCCCCACGGGCTCTGCCAGGGGTGCCGGCGGCTTCGCTTCCCTTCGGGATTACTAGTATTATTACTGGGTTTATTTTTACATTGAGCTACCTACTAAGTGCAAAGATTTGTTGAGTGGCATTGGCTTTATCTAACTTTAGCCTATTTTTGTACAGTTTACAGGTTAACAGTTACCTTCGAGCAGTTAAGCAAGTACAGCAATATTTACAGGGCTGGCAGAGCGGGGCGTGAGGGGACACGTGCGAGGGGCAGGGGACAGGCACCAGCCGGTCCCAGGGCCTGTGCCCGGTGCACAGGGGTGCAGCTGTGGAGGGGCAGAGAGGGGGTGCAGCTGTGACAGCACAGGTACAGAGGTACAGGTGTGGATGTACAGGCAGTCTCCTCGTGGGAGCTCCCCAGCCGAGGAGACACGAGCCACGGCAGGACTGACGGGTTCTGCCACCCTGGTCAGAGCCTCCACTGCCTTCTGGAAGCCAGGCTGCTTCTCCTGCAGAGCTGGGGTCCGCAGCAGTGCTGGAGAGATGAGGAAGATGAAGGGGGGACAAAGCAAAGCCCCAGGCAGGGTAAGTGGCTGCTGGGTGAGTCAGCAGGGCTGGCAGGCTCTTTGCCCAGGCACAGAGCAGCAGGATCAGAGATAGCAGGGAGGAAGGATGAATGTTAGGAGACATGAGCACGTGACTGTGGGGAAGTGCCAAATCAAACCATGGGGCATCGCATGGAAATCTGTACAAGGAAAAGCTGCAGGAGAAGCACGGAGCATCTCTGATTCAGTGCTTACAGAGGAGTCTGGATTATCACACAGGACCATGCAATCCCCAGCCTTCTGCATATTTTTTCTCTGGGTAAAACAAAATGTAGATGCTTTTGCATAAACTCAAACTGTTGTATTATATGGTACAGTACAGAAAGTGCAAAGTATCACCCATCAGACCAGTTTTGTATCTGATGTGGTGAAACACGGCTCATGCTTCTCATGCAGGACAACCACTCTGACCTGAGACCCCTCCTCGCTGCTCAGGCCTGACTCTCAAGAGACCACTAAGTTGGGCTTTGTTATTAAAAAAAAAAAAAAAAGGAAAAAGCACATGGGGAAAGGGAGGTGAAGAATCTCCAAACTCTGTAAGTTACTCCATGCTTTACCACAGGTTTGGTCACTAGTCCTTGCTCACTCTGAGAACTTGCAGAGAAGCAGCGTTCCACAGTCCCAGCGCAGCACAGCATCCTCCTCCTGCATGAGGGTGATGGCACACACCTCACTCTGTCCACTCATGACACTCACTTCACTCCATTCCCATCCATGGCACACATCCTGCTTGTCCCTGCTGCCAGGGCATCACGGGCATATGAAGACATCTCAGGATTCAGGACTGGAAAGACTCCAGCTGGCTGGTCACACATGGTCATGTATGGATTTCCAGCTCTTCTCCACAGCCCAGCAGTGAACAGACCCTACCGCATTCCCATCCCTTTTTTTTTGCCTTCAATGCCAAGAGGTACAGAAAATAAACTCCAGGATGGCCTTGTATTGCTTGACGCACAGCTGCTGCAGCGGGGGCTTCCAGGTGCACACAGACAGCCTTGGAAACCCAGACCAACCCACTGTCTCAAGGGAGGATATTTCAGAGCCAGTTTCTGAGGTAAATCTACTGTTTTAAAGTCACTGAATTCTGTACACTTTGTTTTTAATATATACTTCCACACCGAGTGTGTTCTCCAGCGCCAACACTCAGACCTGACGTCTCCTCCTACTGTAGGACTGCAAGCTCGGGAAGTGTTTCTGCATGGATGGGGTGTGTGCACACCTACGTACATACACTCACACACGTATGTACAGCACCAGGCCCAGGCCCCACACGCGTTTCCTTCCACAGAGGCTCCCCAGCAGGGCCGTGACCCCTGCCCACCCAGCGAGGCTCCGCTCGCCCCGCTCCCGGCGTCCGGGCGCCGCGGTCCCGCGCCCCGGCCCTACATGGTGCCCGATTTATCTGCCGAGCTGCTGGGGAAGAGCTTCTCGGTGGGGGTGACGGCGGGGCTGCCCACGCCCGAGCTGCTGCTGCTGCTGGAGCGGTGCTGCACCACGGGCCGCACCGGCCGCATGGGCGGCGGCCGCAGCTGCGCCCCGGCCAGCCGGGCCGACAGCGCCGGCTTGAAGGTGGTCATCATCTCGGAGGTGGAGCTGCTGCTGCGCCGCATGGCCGCCTCGGGGTCCCGGATCAGGATGGTGTGCAGCGGGCTGGCCGGCTCCGAGTTGGCGGCGCCCAGCGGCGGGTTCTTCATGGGCTCCAGCGTGTCCAGCACCACGTCGGGCGCCTGCTTGGCCGTGTTCTGCCTCTCCAGCTCCCGCAGCTCGTTCAGCGCCGTGCTCATGGTCTTCTCGATGTCCTGCAACGCCAAAGCCACGTCAGCGCTGCGCCATGGGCACCACCTGCTCCCCTGCGCTCCACCCCACCATCCTGGCACGCGTGTCTGCGGAGGGGGTCTCTGATCTGAGAGCTCCCAGGGAAAACAGCAGCTTTGGGAGAAGATGTGAAGCCCAAACTGGCTGCACTAAAGTGCCCTGTGTTCCCAGGTCAGCAGGAGCTTGGTCACCAGCTCCAAAGGGCATCAATCCTGAGCACCAGGAGAGAAGGGTGAACACCAGCCTGCCCGCACAGCTCACCCACAGCTCTGAGGCTGGCTTTGCCTCACAAGGGAGGCCCTGCAGCCTCCACTGGATGTATGGGGCCTCTGCTACCCCATGCTCACAGGACAATGGCACGTGGCAGGGACACACACTGGAGCGAGTGGAACACCAGCAGCTCGCCATGGATATACGAGAAGCAGCAATAAGGCCTGAGGCAGCCAAGGAGACGTTGGCTCCAGCCCCTCAGTGCCCACCACCTCCAGGCTCCACAGTCTGTCCACAGGGATTCCCCAGAAGGTGCATCCAGTCCCACCAGAAGTGCCCATGCACAGGGAACTAGCTACTGCCTATGGCTACAGTGCTGGGGCCTCGTGTACAAATGGAGAGGCCCTAGTCTGCCTTTGCTTAAATCCACCCTAACTTAATTAAGGCCACTCAGCAAGACCATTGGAGAAGCAATTTAAGGCACCAGAGTCAATTGTTTGAAAAGTCACTCTAGTTAATGTTGTCCTGGTGTAGACAAGTCCTTATTTTAGAACACCTACAAAATGCTCTGTGAGCCTCAGGTAACATTCAAAGAATCAGCTGAAGGGAAATAACTATCAAGTTAGCTCCAATTTATTCTATTAAGCTCCTAAGATGATGAGTGAAAATACTCTCCCAGAGAAGTCTCAGGACTCCCAAGCCCAGCAGCCCCACAAGATTCAAAGTGAAAATTCATCACCTGGGTGATCATCTTTTCCAAGAACAACCCAACAGAGCTGGGTGTGCAGCAGCACTGTAACCCTGTCTGAGGTGAAGGGGCTGCAGGCCCTCCCCAGTGAGCTCCTGCAGCCTCTTGGTGCCCTCCCAGCCCTCTCACCTCAGCAAGAGCTTCTGCTTCCAGGGATTTCTGATCTCCAAGGCTGCTGTGCCGGGTGGACCCGCAGGTGGATCTCAGCGGGTGGCTCTCAGCCAGGGCCTTCCTGTCTGGGAAGTTGATGCTGCCCGCGCTGCCGAACGTGGCCATCCTGCGCTTCTCAGGGCTCTCGATCCTGCCCCTGTTGAGGGGGATCTTGTGGGGGCTGCTGGGGCAGGCTGCTGCTCGGGGAGGGGTGTCGATGCCAGGCCCCATCCCTCGGGGCGGGCTGTGGGTGTCGCCCCCGCTGCGGCGCCGGGGGATGGCGGCACCGTCGGACCTCAACCTCACCCTGCAAAGAGCCCAGCACGGCACAGGTCAGCGTGTGTCAGCCCCACTGCTGCATGCTGCAAGGCAACCCCTCACCCTGAGCTCAGCTCAGACCAAATTAGAGCCTTCCAGCTTCAGAAGACTCAGGCAAGAGGGAAAACAAATATTTTAGCCAGTACCAAGAAAGGGACAGCATCAAATCATAAGGGTAGTTTGGGCTGGAAGGGACCTCAAAGGTCATCTTGTTTTGGCTCCCTGCCATGGGCAGGCACACCTCCCACTATCCCAGGTTGCTCAGGGCCCCTGTACCCTCTGTAAATGTTAAATCCCCATCAGCAGTGCACATGAAATGCCCTTCAAGCCCCTATTACCCTGCAGTGCTTTCTAAAGTTTCCCCACCCATCCTGCCCTGCCCCACACACCAACTGTCCACACGTGTGACAGCCACCACCTCCATGGTGACAGGAATGTGAGTTACCTGCCCATGACTCCCCCAAAGCCATAGTCCAAGATGTGATCCGTGGGTGACTGGATGTCGTTCTTGGAGGAGGCTTTATCGTCCAGCAGCGGCCCGCTGCTCGCCTCGCTGTCTGCCTTCTGGCTCAGGCTGTCAGAGAAGGCATCATCCCTGGGAAAGGACACCACAGCAGTGACAGGGCTGTGCCCCGGGCGAGCCAGGGCCCGGATGCCACGCCAAGCTGAACATCACCACGTCAGCAGCTCCACACTTGGAAAACAAGGAGCTGTACCAGGGCCACCACTTCACCGGGAACTTGGAAACAGCACACATCTGCCTTCCCATCCCCTGTGATGTGGCTGCCACTGTGATGGCTCCAGACACAGTACTTGGAAGAGAAGCAGCACCTGCAAAGGGCCCTGGGATCTGCCCACAGGCCAGGTGAGCACTGAACAATCCAGGTCAATGCTCACAGGGACCAGGCTGGTGGTAAGCCTGGGTCACACCACGTTGGGGAGTCAGTGAGAAATGGGGCCCAGGTACACTGAGGTACAATGTTTAGTACTGGTCTTTATCAGCCCAAATGAGAAACAAATGGAGCCAATACACAGAGGGAGAAGTGAATAGGCACAGATTTCTCACCAAAGTCATTAAACAAATGCAAAACTGACTGATTATTTTAGGTGACTGAAGTGGAGCTTGTGCAAGCACATGATTTTAACAAGCCTCACTTTACTCACATGTCTTGCACCACGATGTACTGGTGGGGAATGAGCCCGTCCACCCCGTTGTGTCTCCCTTCCCACCAGTCTTCCGACGCCCGGTGGTACAGCAGGAGCGAGGCCCCTTTCTTGAAGGAGAGCTCCCGTGGAGATCGCCCAATGTAGTCAAACTTGGCTATGGCTTCAATCTGCTCCACCTCTGCACAGGAGAGAGGCACAGCGAGAGCGGCTCAGCTCGGCCCTAAAGGGAGGCTGAACCCCCGAGCCCCTCACCAGAAGAACAGAACAGTGCTGCTGCTGCCCAGCGCCCCAGAGCAGCTCACACTGAGCACAAACCGGCTTGTTTTCAGACTGATCAATTCTTATTGTTGTTCCAGGCTCTCTGGGACCTCTCTCAGACTCACAAACTACTGGCAATTACAAACAGCTACGAAGCAGATGGGCAGCAGCAGGAATCTCCCTCTGTGCATATGGCACCCTCAGCCACATTGGTTACAGAAACCCATTATCCTCCAGCCTGAGATTTTGTCAAGCCATGTCAGATGCTGTGACCAAACCCCACTTACCTTCTCCTCCCTTCCTTATCCTGGAGACAGTTTGTCTGAATTATTGATGAGCAACTAATGTCCCTTTGGGGATCCCTATGGAAATAATGATACCAGCTCCAGCCAGACAGCTGCTCTGCACCCCACCATCTGCAGCACTCTGCCTCACTGTTTCCCCACTTTTCCTAATGTGAGCTCTACCAAACACCCGTGACTCAAACTGAGAGCTCAGGGCCTGAAATACAGGAGGGCTGAGGCAGAACTTCACTTTGGAAGGTCATGAGCACACCAGGGTCCTCTAAGCCTCTGGGCAAGGGTGTCACAGCAGGAGCTGCTGGAGCACCCAACAGCACTGAGGAGCCTGTGGGAGAGCCTGGCTCACATGCAGATCTGTTTCCAGCTGGGGAACACTGAATCCTAAAGAAATCATTGCAACAACTGCAAAGCAGCAAGAGTGTCTCTCTCCTCATTAACCAGAGTGACCCACACTGTGCCTTGCTTGGGTGGCAGAACTGCTGCCACTCCCCAGCCATCCCTGCCACTGCTGGAGCATTAGCATGCCTTGATTATCTGAGACTGGATCATTTCAATCCCCACCTGGAGACCGGCAGACAGAAAATGACAGCAAAACAGGGCAAGCCCCCCCAGTTCCTCCAGATCTGCCTCATTCTCATTAAACACAGAAACTTGCTGGGCCCCGTTACTGACCGTGGGCTCAGCAGCCATCAGTGTGTGACCCGACACTGCTCAGGAACCAAACCCACGTGGAGGAGGGGACACCAAAGGAGGACAAAGGATGCTGCATCGGACCCTTGTCCCATTCCAGCCCCCCGGGGACAGGCCAGGCCACTGCAGCAGATTCATCTTCCCCACTTTAAGCAACCTCCCCATGAGGGCAGAGTGTCTGGGAGCACCACAGGAGGATCAATAGAGAGTTCTGGAGGAGACAGAGCCAGGAGGGCTCCCACAGCCCTGACACAACACTGGGCTACCAGCAGGGAGTGTAGGCAGGGCGAGGGGGAGAGGGAACATGTAAATCCACAAAATACAGCTGCTCATCTGCTCCACACTTGGCACCACAGTTAATCACTCGGAAACCCCAATCGGAGCCATTAACGTGGCCACCCAAGTGTGAAATTGGCTGCACAGCAGCTCCCTTGCCTCCCTTTGCCAGGCCTGTTGGCTCCTGCCTGGAGCTGAGAGCAGGCCTGGAGCCGCCCAGCCCCACGTGCCCTTCCCTGTGCCCAGAGCCGCCTGGCCTTGCGTGCCCTTCCCTGTGCCATTCCCGCTCCCATGGCCCCGCTTGCCAGGTGAGCCCTCCCTCATCCCCGCAGCCTCGCAGGGCAGATGTGCTCTGCCGAGGCAGGACACAGCCAGGATGGCAGCAGCTGTCGGAAGCAGAAGGTGCTCAGCTCCCCAGGGCCCTTCCAGCACAGCAAGCCCTGCCACGGCTCCCCACCCGGGGCAGTGCCAGCGGCGTTCCCCAAACCGCCCGCTCGCGGCTGGTGCTGCTGGCACGGGGAGCACAGCGCTGCCTCCTGCTGCAGCCCAGCCCTGCCAGGCAGCCTCAGCCCGCAGTGCCTGCTGCTCTCCTGCACGCACAGCTCTGCTGGCACGCACCCAGCCCCTGCTCACCATCGTCACTGGTGTGCGGCTCTGTCCCGTTGTCGTGGTCCACCTCATCGATGGTGCCCGGCTCGCTGTGCGGGCTGTCGCTGCAGAGGAACACAGAGGCTGTCACACAGAAACGACACTGCTCCCAACGCACTCAGCACCCCTCATGCTGCCCAGGGAGGTGGGGGAGTGCCCATCTCTGGAGGTGTACAACAAACAACTGGATGTGTCTGGGCGACAAGGTGGTGTTTGGTCAAAGGTTGGACTCGGTCTTGGAGGTCTTTGCCAACCTAACTAATTCTGTGATTTGTGATTCTCTGATTTCAAACCACAGCAGATCCCTGAACTTGCTGAGAACAGCAGACACTCACACCACAATCGCCAGGCCCAGAATGTCACGTTCTGTTGGCTCTTGGGTCTTTAGCAGAGTTTGGCAAAACTAACACAAAGTGACACCAAGTTAAATGCCCCATTCCCTAATTCACAGTGAGCTGCAGCTTTAGCTCCTCTGCTGCACCAGGAAGGATGGGTGCAGGTGACTAGTGTAAGGCATGGTGAGAAATCAGAAATGTATGAAACTTGTAGAAAATCAGTTCAAGTATGTTACTGATCCTGGTTTGTTAAACCCAGACCTGAATGTTGGGTTAGAATTCCAGCAACAGAGGGAACTGGAAGGTTTGGGTTAACCTCGCGCTGAGGGGTTTCATCCAACCAGCAAATTATGATGGAACTATGGATCTTTACTCAAAATTTCCAGCCTAGGAGGAATTTGGATAGAATTCACCTAAAATTCTGTTTTGCTGAACACACTTCTGTGGATCAGCAGCTCAAAAAAATCATCGGCATTAGTATTTGCCCTGGAAAAAGTTTCTTCTGATGTTTTTTACTGAGGTTTAAAATACTGAGTCAGCACAATAAAATGAAATACCTGGTGAAACTGCCTGTTTTGACTAGTAAGACTAAATCAAACGGTTCAGTGTGCAAGAGCCTCTTGGCCTGATGGAAGTGTTTGTACCCAGGAACCCAGCAGAGAGCTCACCAGTACTCCTCCCCTCCGGTCATGCACTTCTCGTAGACAGGCCCCTCCAGCTCTCGGTGGCTAGGGAAGATGCCCTCGTGGTGAATGATGATGGTTTTGATGACCTCATTGACATGGGCCTGGCAGGACACCGGATCCTGCCCGTCAGGAATGTGCATCAGCGTGGGCCCGAAGCAGATGGCCAGGTTGTAGGGATCCATCATGTTCTCATCGCTGTACTGTGACAAGCTGCAAGCACACAGTGAGGAGCTGCCGTGCCACGGTCCTGCTCGCTGGGACCCCTCCCAGCAGAGCCCCTGGCCTGGCACGCACTGGCACCGAGCTGTCCCCACTGCCCTGGCACCGAGCTGTCCCCTCCCCGGGCACACACGGGCACCAAGCTGTCCCCTCTGGCCCAGCACCGAGCTGTCCCCTCCCCGGGCACACATGGGCACTGAGCTACCCCCTCCCTGGGAATGCACTGGCACCGAGCTGCCCCCTCCCCGGGCACACACGGGCACCAAGCTGTCCCCTCTGGCCCAGCACCGAGCTGTCCCCTCCCCGGGCACACACGGGCACCAAGCTGTCCCTCTGGCCCAGTACTGAGCTGTCCCCTCCCCAGACACACACCAGCACCGAGCTGTCCCGTCTCCGGGCACGCAGCCATGGCCAGCAGGGCCGAGAAAAACCCAAGCACAACTCCCCATGGCAACACCAGAAGGGATTCGTGCACCAAAGACAGGGAAGCCCTGGCAAAAGGGACGGCAAGGAGGAACTTGGTGAAGCAGGAAAACAGACTCACTGGTTAAGGAAAGCAAAGAGGTATCTCATGACCACGATGACAGCCCGAGGCAGAGTGACAATGATCTGCTGGATCTGGTGCACTCTCTCTGCAGGGTTCTCAATTTCTGGAACACATGGATAGAAAGCACATCCTTAAAAACCTTTTCAGGACCAGACAGCTCAGCGGCAGAGGGACTTGTTCCAGATCTAGTGGCCCAGTAAGTGAGAAATACAAAAGCCTGTCTCCAGAGGTCATCCATCAGTCTGGTACTAAGGTGCAGGAAAGGAATGGGGGACATTGCTCCTCCAGCAGGGAATTCCTGTGTTCAGACGCAGTATGAACAGCAAATAAAGACATTTCCGTGGGTTAGATTTTAAAATAAATGTTTATGCATTATTCATTTCATTCCTCAACAACTCCTCTGTTCCTCAAAAGCCTGAGTCAATGTGACACTGAAAACAGAGCACTGCTTGATTTTCTAGGGCAGATTTTTAAATGAGGTTTTTATTCAGGTTACCCTTCTGGGTTATGCATTGGATCCTTCTGAGCCCTTCCGCTCCTGTCTGCTGCTGCTCCGAATAGGAATTAGGAACTCCCAGGAACTAGGTTAGCTGAGCCAGTGCTGAGTCAGCGCTTTCAGATTCACTGCTCTCCACTCACAGGGGTGCAGAGCCCGGAGCTGCCATCAGACACCTGCTCCCTCCCAAGGGAAGGGGGACTCAGGGCTGTCCTGCCCCAAGCTACCCTGTGTTCTGTAGAGAGCTAATCCTGTGGCTGCTGTTCCACAGGAAGCAGAGGACAAGCACCAGGACTTTTTTGGAGCAGGCAGATCACACAGAAGTGCTTGTTCTTCTGGCTCAAACTACGCAATTTGCTAATCACAATAAAGTTCACTGACAACATGTAGCTAGGCTGCCATTTAATCAAAATTCTGAGCAAAATCTGCCCTCAGTATACCAAGATGGAAAGCTTTGTAGTATTTCACATGGGGAATTTTTCCATTTGATTTATCCCATTATTGCCTGCTGGGTTCTCTACTTCTTCAGTCTGGTTTTACAAAAGAGGTTATTTCTTAAAAAAAAACCAACTAAATACAAACTGATAAAACCCTATGCCAATAGATATCTTTTCTGACACCAAGAGAAACAAGCTCTCAAAACACTTGCCTTTCTCCCAGAGCAAAATGTTTCAACTGGGCATATGGAATTAAGAGGGTACCAATCACCCTTGCACACACAAGGACAGCCCCATGTGGACTCTGCAAAGTGCCTTTTGACCTGTTTATTGGCCTTGTGCCTTTGAGGAGCTTCCACATAAACCCCCAGCCCTGCAAGAGCAAAAGGAAAAGTTCTTCACCCTGCTTACGCTGGGACACCCATTTATTGCTTCTCTTGTCCCAGCCAGCTCTCCACAAAGAGCTGTCACATGTACTTACTTATAGTAGATATCAAATCTTGAAACCTTTCCTTAGGAAAGAGGGGGTTTTCCAGTCCTCGGAAATACAGCTTCAAGACTCCAGCCACTGAGTTAATGTCTCGTTCGTTCTGGTCATCAGCGAGGGGGTCTTCACCTGCCCACAGAAAAGGATTTATATTCAGCATCCCCATCAAGCTGGACTAGCACAAGAGGTTTTCATCATTTAGTGGAACACCCAAATTTCCCAGTGTTAGAAACCCTCCTCATGTGCAATGGCAATGCTGATTTTTCCTGAAAACAGTTTTACTGGGGAATTCCAAACCTTTCCTGAGGACAAGGATGATATTGGTTGTTTCTCCTTCACTGTTTCCAGCTCAGCGAACTCCTTCCATTTACAGCACCAGCCCAGAAAGCTGGGGAGGTCTGAACGACACAGAGTGAAAGGCTGAGAGGACAGGCTTGGCTGGAGGATACAATTACACCTCTGGAATGGGCCCAACGGCCCTGGATAGCTTTGTACTGACTTAAATCTGTGAAAGGCTTTCAGTGCCCCCGAGATTTGGATACTAATTCATTCTAAACTGGATGTGCAAATCCTCCAGCCTTTGACAATCCTAACACTGCCTTATCCATTGGCCCATCCACCTTCATCCTGATCCTTCCAATGCTGCTCAAGGATTAAGGGTCACTATTCCCAGCAGGACTGTCCCTGTCACAGCTCCCCTCCACTCAGGACAGCAGGACTGCTTTCCCTTTCTCACTGAGAGAATTTTCTCAGCAGATTCACTGGCACCTCCACAGCTAGCACTGGCACCAGGGACAGGGAATGCAGCACGTCCCTTGGCAAACTGCTGCAGGAAGGCTGAACAAGGGTTCCCAGCAAACTCTTATGGCTCTTGTGTTTTTAATGACTGTGGAAAAGACCTCTACACATACCCCTACTTTTCATACTCCTTCCCTGGGTAACTCTTCACTGCTGCCAGAGACACAACATTGGGAAACCCAGAAGGGATAAAACCTGCTCATGTCTCATAGCACAATGGGCTTTAACACAGGATTTACAGCCTGGCTAATGCACCCATCACCTCCCACAAGGATCCTGCTCAGGCAGGGCATCCTGCTGTACCTGCACACCCCAGCTACACACCTCTCTCAAACGAGTTCTTGATGTCATTGACTTCCACCTGGGAGCCAGGGACTCTGAAGATGCCCTGCTGCTGGAGGCCTGGAAGAGAACAATGCTTGAGGAGAGCTTTCTGGAACTGCTGGGCAATACCTGCAGGTCAAAGCAGGAGAACCCAGGAGTCCATGCACCAGACAGGCTTGGACCGAGCAGGGACAGCCTGCACCCCCACTTCTGCTCATATTCTCCAACCACGGCCCCCAGATCAAGGTGCTGAAAGGGTGAGGGCCAGTAAAACCTCACTAGTGGCCAGTCAGCCAATGCCATGCAATTCTAAACTGAGGCACGGAGAACAGAGTGCAGGCAGCCCCTGCTGGCTCTCCCTGCTCACTCCAGCACTTTCTCCTTGGCAGGTTGCTGGGGCTGTGCTGAGCCAACTTACCATACAGATTGATGTAGCGGATGCAGCTTTCTACAACAAGTGGAATGGCCTGTCCTGAATCCTTCAGGAAAGGAAAGGAAAAGAGAAAAATTACTGGTTTATTGCTAACAAAGCATGGGAAACGCATTAAAGATTGCAAGACCAGAGATTTGAAAATTAAAGCTGTGGAGTTTAGTAAGAGGACAGGCAGGAAAGGAGGTGTTACAAACATGGAGCCATCAAAGAGTGCTGAGGATACCGTGTACAGCCAAAAATGCCCAGGAAAGCTGTCACTAAGGTGTGTGAAACATTGCTGCTCCCTGTCTGGCTCAGACAGGAGACTGCCACGAGGGATCACAGCTATTCCACCCCAAAGATGGAATGCTGAGCTGAAATAAAACTTGTGCTACCCCTGGCTGATGGAATAAACTTCCCGTAACGCAGCTTACAACAATATTTCCAGTGAAGGAAAGAGCCATTGTCAGCAGGTTCTAAAAAACCCAACAAACACCACTGGGTATGGAGCCAAGTGCCTGAGTCTGAGCCAGTGGTGAATTCTGGTTTCTCCCCAGGCCCCCTGTGGCAGAAGCTCAAGGGGACCGTGGGGCATGTCTGACAGCCCAAGGGGACACATTTCTCTTTGGGTTTTTCCAGCAGAGCACAGTGGCATCTCTGGGCAATTCCCTCTGTCTTGCAGATGGGAATCTGGGGTCTCCAGTAAGTACCTGATTCCTCGTTCGTGCATTCCTCCTTCCTCTGAGCACAACAAAAGCAGCAGAGTGGGAAAAAGAGAACAGATTAAGCAGGGATAAGTTCAGTTAGAGGTAAGCATCTCCTTCGGAGGCCGTGAATGCTCAAATGCAATGGCAGCTTAGCAAGGGCCAACACAGGCCTTTGGGATGTGCACCCTCCCTCCCAAACCCCTTTGGCACACTGCACCCCAGCCTCAGTGATCTGCCTCTGGGACTTCCTCCCTGCCTGAACCTGCGGCCGTCCCAGGAGCCCGAGGACAGGGACAGCCCTTGCCTGGGGCACTGGGCAGCCATGGGGGCACTGGTGGCCAGGGGACATCCGGGCAGCTGCCCATGGCCCAGCTGCCTGTGAGGCTGTACACCCCAAGGGCAGGCAGCCGTCCCCCAGAGGGTCTCTGCTAGCACGGGACTCTCCTGCTCAGATGGATTTCTAGAGCAGGTAGTTCCTCCTTCTCAGTGCTGAACAGCCTGGGATTTAATGAGCATTACTTTTTTAAAAAGCAGTTTAAGTCAGGAGTAATCACAAATCCTAACGCGATTACAGGCTTTGCCAGCGGGGCCAGTACTCCCCGTGCTGGTGCTGTGTACAGACACTGCCCTCGGGCTTAGGGCTGAGCTTGAGGCAATAAACCCCAGCCAGATGATGCCTATTAGTCACCTAATCCAACAGCTTGTCTTTACAGCTTCCCAAAGTGTTTTCCCTGAAGCTTTCTCCAGAGCAGGATTACAGGACACCACTGTCAGCAGCTGGCAGGGGATGAGCCAGCTGGGCTGGCTGCTACTGATGCCTTTGTGTGTGAGGCTGAGGGTCACCTGTCTGCCCTCCCACATGGACACCCCTACAACAGGATTTCGACCCCAGGCTGACAGTCATTGAAAGGGGAAAACACTTCTGGGGTCATTTATCTTCCTTCTCAGCCACAAGGATGGACGACCACCCAAAAGAGGAAGGGGGTCTGTCTGCTGCTCCTTTGAGGGCTGGGCTGAGCTTGTGCAACCTTTCCTCCCAGGATGGGTAGAAGCAGCAGGACAATGAGGACACTCAGCCAGCACTGCCTCAGTGCACATGGCCAGCAGCCATGGGTGGGGTCTGGAGCACACAGCTGATGGGACAGAACACCAGGGATGCACCAGGGCAGCTATGGAGAGAAACCACCACCGAGGCAAAGCCGTGCTGGCCATGCCAGCTGGGTGCAGATGGGCCAGAGGGACCCCTGAGGATGGCAAGCAGCCAGGACAGGAAAGCCACCATTCCATTCCCAGCGTTCACAGACACTCCTACTGCAAGCCAGCAAGTACCTTAATGAATGTTTCCATATTGCCGTTAAAGAGTTTATGATTATACACTGAGAGAGGCCTAGGTCTCCTCATTTTCTGTGGCTTAGGGGGAAGACAGGGGGGCCTGGGAGAAAATGGAACAATATAAATCAACAAAACACCAACATAAACGCAAAGACAGGGTGAGATCTCACAGGTTATAACTGAGAATAAGAAATCAAACAGAAGAGTCGCTCTGTGAGGATTTGATGCGCAGCTCCACACACCCTGCAGGCACTGACACTGGTGTGACCCACACGGACACCACCCCAGCAGGAAACCAACAGCACTGGTGGCCAGCTGGATTTAACACCTGCCTCCCACCGCTGCCAGCTCAGCACGCCCTCAGCCTGAACAGGCACCAAGAGCAGCTGAGGAGTTGGATCCAAAATAAACAATATATCCGCAGCTACCCCAGAAAACGCTGGGGTATTCCTGTTCCTAAACAGAATTCACTCTGCTCACAGGAAGAGGCCAGAATGAGGACAGTGGGAACACCTCCACAGCGCTGTATCTAACTTCTGCTTGGAATCCCAGGGATGGGGATGAGAAAAACACCACAAAATCCCAAAGAGATTTCTGCCCTGCCCTCTGGCCCAGGCTGTCCTGATGTCTGCAGGGGAGAGAACACAACTGCAGACACACACAAAACTGGTGCTGGGAGCCTTCATGCAGGAGATCTCATGGAACAGACATGGACACCACACAGAGCTCAGTGCAAAGGGGACAGCGGGGGCCTGCTGGTTCCTTAATCAGATGCCTGCAATGAAACAACGTGACCGTACACCCCTACAGGTTCCAGCCGCTCCTCTGAGGGGTAACTGGGGAGCAGAGGCGACGCTGCCCGTTGGGAGCAGCCCTGCCCCACGCACGGCAGGGACTGTGCCTGCAGCCCCAGCCAGGGCCCTGCACACCCCCGGGGCATGGGGCTCGGGGAGCAGGGCCACCCCAGCCCCTCAGGGTGCCACACTGCACAGCCCTGCTCTCTGAGGCCGGCTCTCTGTCCTGACAGCACCTCGGTGCCCCGCTGGGTGCCCAGCCCCGGTGCTGGCAGCACAAGGAGCCTCCTTCCTGCCTGGCAAGGCAGCCCAGGCTGCACCATCTGCTTCTCCACTTCCAACAGGGAACGCAGCTTTTGGGGCTATTAAACACAAACAAGGCTGGAACGAGCTGACACACAGAGAGCATGTTCTAGGGAGCTGTTTGGAGGCTTTGCTGGCCCGTGTCTCGCTGTCAGAGCCCCAGCACACTCCTAGCAAAACACTGGAGCTCTGCGGAGATGCTCCACGGACTGGACACGGATCAAAGCCTCCTCTCTGTCACATCTGTGCCAGCCCTATCTCCTGCAGTAGGGGGATGAAGTCTGTGATACAGGCATGCTCTGCACTCATAGGTAAAGCACCCAGAGCTGGGAGAGGATTTCAGGGAGGTATTAAAGTCCTCAAAGGAAGAGGGAGGGCAGGGAGTGAGTGAGTGGACACCTTGGTGTGACCCTGCCTGAACACAACCGCACCTCAGCTACGCTCCAGGGCATTGCACTGTGCTGACAAAGCACATCCAGGCACATCAGAGCCAGCCAGCCAGCCAGCAACCACACTGCAGCAGAACCAAGGGCTGCCTCCATCCCCCTGAGCCCAGCAGCCCAGGCCATGCAGCTGGGAAGCAGGCTGCGGGGCACAGGGACTGCCAGCACAGGGGCTGAACCCCACCAAGCTGCAGCAAAGCAAACCCCCCTTCCCACAGCTCCCTCCTGCCAGAGCCGGCCCTCCCCAGGAGCAAGAAGGGCAAGAAAGTGCTCACCTGGTTGTTCCACACTCAGCTCTTTCACCTGCAAGAAACACAAGTTCCCATCATGCCTCCACATCAGCCACCAGCAAAGGACTGCAGAGCCCAGCTGCACAGGAGCTCACAGCCTCACTGCTGGCTCCTACCCCCAGGGAATGGCTTCCAGCAGAGAGAAGCTGCATTTGGGGAGGAGAGGTGCCCACCTGTGCCCCCACCATTAAAAGACAGATCAGAAATCTGGAGGGAGAAGATTAGAATCTTCTGAGGGAGAAGAGGGAGAGGAAGGAAAGAGGCAGAGGGTGGGAGTGAGTGGCAATCTCTGCTGCTGGAGAAGTAACCCAGCACTTCAGCACACAGTTTCAGATTCAAAGAGATTCCCCATGTGCACTCCCAAAGAAAAGTGGGAGGAGAGATCCAAGGAAATCATGGTTTTGTGTGTCACTGGCTGGGCTGAGCAGCAGCAGCCGGGCACAGAACCCTCAGCCACGCAGGAGAACACACACAGGGGAGGCTGGCAGGTGACACGTGGTTTGGCCCTCTCAGGTGATGGGAGGATCCTCCCTGGACCTGACCCCAACTCACCTTCTCCCAGAGTTTGCTTCAGCAGGTCGTGCTTAGCCTGGAGCTTCGTGATGAGGTTACTGCCATTCAGATACTCCTTAAATTTCTGGAATTAAAGAACAAAGGGGTGGGTTAAGCACACAGCCCCTAATGGATGCTCACTGCAGCCCGGGGGCTCAGGAGGCTGCACCAGCTGTGCTGCAGGGCTCAGCAGGGTCTGATCACTTCTCCCTGCTCCAGCCCCTGCCCTGATGGTCTCTTATGAGCCTGGTCTCCTTGGAGCTGCCCCTCCTGCCTGGGAACGCAGGGAGGGACAAAGAGTTCAAAGCTGGCTTTCTTTTGTCAGGCCTCTGGGAACAGCCTAGGAAATCAAAGCAGCTCTCCCTGCACTGCCAAGGCTTCGCCTCTGTGCAAACCAACAAAGGCAAGCAAGAACTGCCAGTGCTGAGCCCTCGCAGGCAGGGCCTGCCAGGTGCCCCGTGCAGCTGGTGACACTGTGCACGAGCACTGCCATCCCCCAGCCAGGCTGTCAGACACCCAGAACGCTCCGGAGCAAGGCACTACACAGCTGAGAGCACAGAGCGAGACAAGAGATGGAAAATGGAACACGGAGAATGGGAAAGATCAAATCTCCGCAAAAACCATTAAAGTAATCCCCAGCACAATTCCAAATGAAAATTGCAATTCCCCCCCGAATTTACAATAATATTACCAAGAGAAAGCACAAGCTCTTCTATGCATATGTAACACATCCCAAGATGCTGTTAACCACAGGCTGTGACCCACACTGAGATGAGGGAGGCTTCTGGTGAACTCATGGCTGCCGCCTGTATTTCAGGGACCAGAACAGAGACCTGGGCCCTGCCTGGGAGTGCAGCATGAGCTGCAGGGCAGGCACACACACCACAGCCCTGCTTTTGTGCCTTCCTTGGCATGTCATGGCTTCAGCTCATCCCTGGGCCAAGGGCAAACTTAAGCTGTAAAGGCCAGAGAGGAAGACTTGGCTCATAGTTCACAGTCCTGAAGGCCTCCCTGAAGAGACCCTGGATGGTGGCCATGGTGAGGCCATCTGGAGTCTGCACCCTGCTCTGAGCCTCTCCTGCTCCAATCAGTAAGTTCTGAATCTCATCTAGCTGCTCCAGTTGTTCCTTCAAAGAGAAAAACAAGGCAGGCACTGGATTGTCAGTCCCTGCGTAGTGCTCTGCCACTGAAATGCATTCCAGACCCAAATCTGACAGAAGACAAGTACTTAAAGAGACTGAATTGGTTCTTGCTCTTCACTAATGAGCACTTAACTGGGCCTCAGCCCTGGCAATTAATGCTTCGTGTTCTGTATGCCTGAGCTGAGACTCACAGTGAAATAGAACATTTCAGTCTCCTGCTGGTTGGCTCTCCTCTTGGCAATGTTGATTTTGCTCATGTAGGTCTCTGATGCAGCTGATTTGACCGACTCAGTGGAGCGGCTGTGCTGGAAGGCATCTGAAACATCAAAATCTTCCACTGTCAGCATGTCCTGCAAGGTCTGCATCGTGGCATCCAGCGTTTTCCGTACCTATGGGAAACAGGACAGCGTGGGTTTGAGGCAGACTGGGAAAAGGACACATCCTGAGCCAAAACAACCCCTCAACAGGCAGCTGCTGAGCCCTGGGCTAGCACTGGCTGCAGTCTGTGGGTACTTCCAGCTCTGCCATAGGAGGGGCTCCACACCTGAGCGCACCAGGAAAGCTCCAGAGGAAGAAAGGCTCAGCAGGGCTGCCACAGAGCCCAGCTCTTACCTCCTCATTCTCTATCTTGAGGGTGGCCAGCCGAGACTGCAGCTGGTGGTACCGCATCAGCAGCTCGGTCTGCACAGGCTGCTGGGCGCTCACCTGGCACACCTGAGACAGGAGACATTGCAGGGTCATGCACGGACCAGACACGCGCTGCCATACCCACACCATTCCCTCCAGCCCCCACAAGCTCCTGGCAGCCTCCAGAGAGGCTGTGTTGCCGTGTGTCCCACGAGCAGTGCCCTGGGCCCAGGCCAGCACCGAGTGTTTCTGCCTCTCCCAGTTACAGCAGGTTAATCACAGCTCCCCGTGCAGATCTGTGGGGCAGAGAGAGCCAAACCACGGGCTCCCTAATTGGGACAGACATGGAGCAAGAGGCAGCCTGAAAGGAGGAGCCCTAACGAGCCCAGAGTCTCATTAGGAAGGGACACACGAACAGCAGTGTGTGAAGGCAGCAGAGAGGGGTGAGGAGTCGGGGACAGTTTCACAGGGATGCTTCAGAGCAGGGCCAGGCCCCGTGCAGCCCCACAGGTGAGCGCGTTACCTCGTCCCCCATGTGGGGCTGGAACTCGAACTTGAGCGGCGGGCAGAAGACCTGGTTGCACATGTCCATGATGGTGTGCTTGTCGCTGCGCGCGTCCAGGTTGTCCACGGCGTTCTCGATGACGTCCAGGCCCTCGTGCCGCGACGTCTCCAGGTTGTACTCTGCCGACAGGTACGTCCTGAAGGTGCGAGCGAGGCTGGCGTGGAAGCCCAGGTCGCAGCACTGGCAAACACAAAGGAGGCTCTGCTCACACAAACTCCCAAAGCATTTTGCAAGGCTCGCACACACAGATGGAAGCTGAAGCAAGGCGGGGTGTGTGCCATCCTGCATACACCAGGCCCTGGGGTGTGTGCCATCCTGCATACACCATGCCCTGTGGTGTGTGCCATCCTGCATACACCATGCCCTGTGGTGTGTGCCATCCTGCATACACCAGGCCCTGTGGTGTGTGCCATCCTGCATACACCAGGCCCTGGGGTGTGTGCCATCCTGCATACACCAGGCCCTGTGGTGTGTGCCATCCTGCATACACCAGGCCCTGTGGTGTGTGCCATCCTGCATACACCAGGCCCTGTGGTGTGTGCCATCCTGCTCTGTCCCTGGGCAGCTGCCTGCCTCCCACCATGGAGCAGCTCCTCACGCTGCTGATCACTCTCATGTCTGTCTTAGGGAAAATGATAAATCTTGGAGTTAACTGCTGCCAAAATACTGTACTTTAAAAAACTGGCTTTAAACATTGTCCCCACTATAACTGAATTTGGCATGTCAAGTGTCATACCAACACAGGGATTTGTTGCCCTGAAAGCTCCATCAGAGCTGAGCCAGTCCAACCTGTGACCAATCCCCACCTTGTCACCCAGCCCCGAGCACTGAATGCCACGTCCAGCTATTCCTTGAACACCTCCAGGGATGGAAATCACCACTTCCCTGGGCAGCCCGTTCCAGTGTCTGACAATCCCTTCTGTGAAGAAATACTTCCCGAAATTCATATTGATAAACTCGAAGTGAAGCCCAAAATCTCAGCTGGTGCCACAAGCAGCTCTGACCCAAGAAGCCATCTCATGCTTGGTGCCAATGTGAGGTGACACCGCTCGGCTCAGATCACATCATGGCAGGGCTGTGCTGGCTTCAGCCTCTGCTAAAACCAGCAGCAGCAAAGCTACACTGCATCAATTGCCAGCCCCACTGTCCCTCCTAGTTTTTAAAACCTATGAAAACCCATGTGCAATAATGAGCAATTTTGTAAAAACTATCTAATTGTCACAGCTCTCCATTTATCCTGCTTCTGGTTAGCCTCTAATCACATTAATTGAGAGTATGGGCAGTCATGGACTGGCACAGACCTGCCTTAAAAAAATCAACAAGCAACACAAAAAAGATAAGGGGCGAATTTCCATTTGCTGCTTGGGGCAAATCCTCACTCTGTGCTGCAAGCCTCTCCCATGAGACAGTTCCAGCATGAGCACCCATAGGAGCACTGCGGGTTGTTTGTACAGCAGCCCCAGAGCTGGAACAATGCGGCCGAGGGGCTGCACAGAGCCGGGGCAGGGACCAGGGCCAGGGCCCCGTGCCAGCACTGGGGGAGGACCAGCACTGCAGCCCTGCCCAGCTGAGCACAGCCCTGTGCCCTGGGAACGGCCTGTGCGCTCCCCAGCACCTCCCAGCCCTGCAATCACAGCGACTGGGCCGCAAGAAACAGCACCAGGAGGAAATATGTGCCACTGCTCAAGGGTGGGAATTCCCAAAGCACACAAACCCGAGCCCTACAAGGCAAAGCACTGCACGGCACAGAACCCAAGCAGAGGGGCTCAGGGCATTGCCAGCTGCTTTCAGGACAAAGTTCCACGTGAAATGTTTCCCCTTTTTTGCTGCTGGGCTAACACTGAAGCCGGCGGTGGTTGGCAGTGCCCAGAAATCAGGTGCTCCTGAAAAGCGGGGCGGCACCTCCTGCACACACCGCAGCCCTGGTGATGGGCACGGCTGCTTCACACACGGGCGCCCAGAGAAGAAAAGACGGAGCAGGGATTTCCACGCAATTCCCAGAGGAACGACAATGGGGAGGGGAGAAGAAAAAGGAAGAAAAAAAAGACTTCAAACCGATGCTCCCAGCCCCAGAACAAATGGCATTTTCTCACCCCTCTCATCCCTTTGATGGCAAATAAATTAGAACCACAAATAATAATCCCAGCCCTTCCACAGCGCCTTTCATCTGCCAAGCTCAGAGCTCCCCAAGCATTAATTCATCACGGCTCGTAACACCCTGCAAGGGCTGGAAATATCCCAGTGTTCAGCCTGAGAAACAAACCGGCTCCTGCAGCTCAAGCAAGCACATGTGGCCAGAACACCATGGGAGCAGCCGAATACCTGCGTGCCTGCCCCTGCCCACCCAGAGCTGCACGGGGGGCACTCCCGGGCTCCGGGAGAGGGAAAGGCACACAGTGCTCTGTGGCTCCAGCAACAGAGCCCCTCTGTTATCTGGGAGGCTGAACCCAGACACGACAGAGCTCAGCCAGGCCCACGCCTTGACCTGAGCAAGGGGAACCCCAGAGTGACACCTGGGTGCCCTGCAAGCCACCCCTCATCATCCCAGGCAGAGCAGTGACGCCCCTGCCTCCACAGGACCAGCACTGCTGCAAACAAAGAGCCCAACTCATTTGCTCTGCTCTCTTCCCTCTGCTATGCATTTTTTTCCTTATTTGTTTATAAAAAATATTTGGCACTATTTTTAATTATACACATAATACATAATAATTATATGCTTCTTTTAATTTCTGGCCTCTACTCTCTTGACATAGCTGCAAAATCCAGAGCTGTGCTGTGTGGCAAGTAAATCACAGAAGCCCAGGTAGTTTATTCTGGGAGAGACCTTAAAGATTATCCAATTTCAACCACCCTGCCACGAACAGCGACACCTTCCAGCAGCCCAGGTTGCTCCAAGCCCTGCTCAACCAGGCCAGTAAAGCCAACTGAGGATATCTGGCATAACTATTTCAGCTGCTGTTTCTGTTCCCTAACTTGACTCAGATGATTTTGCCAGGGATCAAGCAATTCCACAGTTCCATGTAACACTGAATTTCCTCAGAGTTCCCGTCCTTTCCTGGCTTGTCTCAGATACAGCAATCACTAATCCATAGGGAGGTGGGTTACTGCTCCAGAAGGTCTCAGAGGAGGCTGCGCACGTTTTGGCAGATCAGTTTGTATGCAAACTGCCTGTTCCATTTTCTCCGCTGAATCCAGTGATATCCTTCATGTGACCACTTCAAACTATTTTGCAGCCATTTCCCAGAGAACTCCAGAGGGATGGATAAGGAGCTTTATCTCCTCTTTGCATACATGGCCAAAAAGATTAACTTGGTCACACAGTTAATGACAGTAATGAGACAAGCCCAGGCACTTAAACAGAGGCACGTGTCATCCGAGGAGGAGGCCCCGTGGTGCACTGACAGTCCAAGGCTAATTTGATCTATCTCTATATTCTTCCCTTCCTTTCTAGGACAAAACAACAAGGCCACTGGAGACAGAGGGGCAGACGGCTCCGCGCCCCTTCACGGCTCCTCTGATGGGCTTCACAGTTCTCATTAAGCCGCAGCCCTGGGAGGCTTCCCTCCCTCCTGCAGCAGCTGGGGCCTCGCCAGAGCAGGAGAGCGGAGCACGGCTTTGTCCCTGCCACTGCTCTGCAGGGACACCCAGTGATGGCAGGGCTGTGCCCAGAGATGACACCGAGGCAGCTGGGATTTGGGGGAAACGTCGGTAAATTGGCTCTGCAGCGTCCTGACGGTTCGGATTTGTGTGAAATCAGCAGCTGCACGTGGCAATTTGTACTGGAGATGGAGGGTGTGCAAGCCCTGTCGCCTCTCCCCGTCCCAGAGAGCCAGCCTGGAGCATCCCTCACCATTCCATGGTGGAGGAGCTGCCAGGAGCCACAAGAGTGTGGTCAGGCAGGCTCAGAGCGTGCCCAGCCCGGCTCAGAGCTGCCCCGAGCTCAGCTCACACATCCAGTATTTTGTTTCTTTGATGAACAGACTTTGTAACTGGGGAAATTTCATTGCTCCATGTTAAAGATGCTTTAGCTGAAGTCCCTGAAGGGATTTCTGGAATGTGGGAGAAATGCCATCTGCTGACTCCAGAGGAAGTGTCAGTGAGGAAATAAAAGTTGGGAAGAATAATATAAACAGACAGAATTAAAATGGAACTCAGCAAAACTCCGGAAAATCAAAGTTCAAAAATCTCCACAAAATGAAGTCATTCTTGCTTAAAAAATAATTTAACAGAAGAAAGAATATGCACTGCAAAAGCAGAAAGCCTGCAGATAAATTGAGGTGTTCTCATACCCTGCCATTCAAATGTCTCCAAGATCAACTTACTTGTTTTTTAACACATCTTCAATAATAAAGAGAACAAAGCATAATGAAGAGTATTTTATCATATATGAAAATCTTGAAGTCATTGGGAATTTGCATCAGACTTACTTTAATTCTCAGAAGTGTAACTACATGCTAATGGGCTGGGAAAGGAGGTAAACACTCAAGCAGCTTTTCAAATTGTACATTAGGTAATGATGGTAACTCAGTGCTTCAAGCTCAGCTATTTATGCACTCACTGAGGCAACTCCAGCAGGAAGAAACTGCACAGTGCAATCTACACGCTGTGGGATGCCCGATAAAGGAAGAAGCAGAAATCCCTTCTCTGGGTAAATCCCTTCTCTGAATCATCTCAAAGCAGTTTGCAGGAGTCACCAGAGCTCAGTTCCTGCCATTGCCACGAAGCTGCCTGCAGCAGTTCCTGCCCTGGGGCTGTTCCCTGCCAGGAGCACCGGGACAAAGCCCCACGGTGCCTTCCCCAGCCCGGACAGCAGCCAGGACAGCGCTGCCACCATCCAGGACAGCACTGCCACCCGCCAGGACAGCGCTGCCACCCGCCAGGACAGCACTGCCATCAGCCAGGACAGCGCTGCCATCAGCCAGGACAGCGCTGCCATCAGCCAGGACAGCAGCCAGGACAGCGCCGCCACCATCCAGGACAGCGCTGCCACCCGCCAGGACAGCGCTGCCATCAGCCAGGACAGCAGCCAGGACAGCGCCGCCACCATCCAGGACAGCGCTGCCACCCGCCAGGACAGCGCTGCCATCAGCCAGGACAGCACTGCCACCCGCCAGGACAGCGCTGCCACCAGCCCAGACAGCACTGCCATCAGCCAGGACAGCGCTGCCACCCGCCAGGACAGCACTGCCACCCGCCAGGACAGCGCTGCCACCCGCCAGGACAGCACTGCCACCCGCCAGGACAGCGCTGCCACCCGCCAGGACAGCGCTGCCATCAGCCAGGACAGCAGCCAGGACAGCGCCGCCACCATCCAGGACAGCACTGCCACCAGCCCAGACAGCACTGCCATCAGCCAGGACAGCGCTGCCACCCGCCAGGACAGCGCTGCCACGTGTGCTGAATCCACACCAAAGTCACCCAGTAGCAGAGATAAAAACTCCTCTGGTTCAGCACCAAAGCCAAGGCTGTGCCTGACCTTGGGGAGCATTTCTGTCTCAAACACAGAGTAACCAATGGGCCAAGCAGAAACCTCAGTCTCCCCTGGCTCACCCCAAGGCAAACCCAATTGCCAGGACACCTTCAGCCCCAGTTCAGAAGCCCCTAAGGCCCCCGAGACAGCCCCTCAGCAGCACAGGGTGCAGCCAGGAGCCCAGCAGGCTGGGCCCAGCGAGGCACTCACATCGATGAGGTCAGACACGTCGTGGATGTAGTACTTGCTGACGGCCGCGTTGGTGGCTGCCAGGTTCAGCAGGTAGTCGTTCCTGGCTTTTGTACACTTCAGCTTGTTCTCAGAATACTTGGCTTGTCTCTGAAAAGGCAGAATGTGGTGTCAGAGCACAAACAGGGCGGTATTGGCACAGTTTCTCCTGCCACAGACCCCCACAGCACCCTGCAGCCTGGGAGTGATGAGGTAATTACTAAAACTTGGTATCTGGTATGAAAACAGGGACCTTGCCAGGGTGGAGGAGATCCCATCTGAACACCCCTCGCACTGTCAGCCAGCCACGATGAGTGCATCCTGCTCAGAGGAGCTTGGAGCCCTTGAGCACAGCTGCTGCTGGGGATTTTGGCATCAGTCAAAACCAGAGGGCCAAATTTCCCCCCCAGAAGTGCTGACATACGTTTGGACTTGCTCCAGATGTGTGCAGCTGTATCAAAGTGGAATCTGGCCCAGAGGCCCAAGCTGCACAATTCAGAACAGGACCCAGAATTCAAAACTGTAGGAAAGCAGATGTGCTCCAGATCTGGGACATCTGCTCAGGCAGATCCCTGCTCTGAAGGCTGAATCAAAAGATTAACCCTTCTGAGAAGTTCACTGTTAGAAATGTCCCAGGGCTGGGTGAGCCAGCAAGCAAAGGTGTCCTGGCTGGGGAAACTGTCTCCTTTCCTCCAAAATTAACACAAAAACTTGTGGAGATCCTGAGGTCACAGGGATTTGCTGAGGCCAGAACAGCACAAAGGGTTTTGCCTAGAAAATCTATCAAATACTGCACTCCCACTCCCAGAGAGTCTACAGAGGAAGAACACTGCTATTTCATAGATCCAACTGGTCTTTTGCTACCAGGAGTCAGTTCCTGAGGAAACCCAAGGCTATTGTTCTTTTTTGAAAGCCCATCTTTAAAGAACACATCCCAGACAAACCCCAGCCTCCCGGAGCAGGGTGTGCTGTCCACCCAGGGCGCATCCCCACGCTGAGCGTGGCACCCTGGTGCACTGCCCTCCTCAGCACAGCCTCTGGGCTCCCAGCTGGCACAGCCAGGCCCCGAGCACGCCACGGCCGAGCTGCTGCTGCAGGAGCAGCTCCCAGCACCTCTCCCTGCGCTGTGCTCCGGCAGCCATCGCCCCCAGGCCCCCCAGCTGCTGTCGCAGCTCCCCCTGCACAGAGACAGCCAGGAGGCTCCACGTGGCTCCTGTGCAGGGCCAGCACCCGTCCAGGCTGCACTGCCTGTCCCTGGCACGCCTCCTCTAGAACTGCTCCTGGCCCTCCTGCACAGCCAGGAGCAGGGATGACACCTGCGATGGCCTCCTTGGGCTGCCTCAGCAGCGCATCAGCCTTCCTAACGCCTCCCAGAGATACAGCAACGGCCTCACAGACAAGGACAAGGCTGAAGCCAACCCCTGCTGCCTGCAGGGAGCCCCAGCGCCAGCCCAGCTCCCTCTTCCTTCCCTCTCACCCACCTTCTCCTTCATCTTCTCAATCTTCTTGACGGAGCTGCGCCGCTGCGGCCGGTCCTCGTGTCGCAGCAGGTTCACACTGATGTCCCCTGACTTGTTGAACTGCTTTTCCTCCTGCTTCTCTGCCTCCTTCAGCTTGCTCTCGGCGCTGATGCTCTCTGCATGGTACATGTGGTAGGTCTTCATCACCTGCAGACACAGGAGGTGATGAGCCCCCTCCCACGGTCACCTGCAGCCCCAGAGCAGGACAGGCCAGCAGCCCTGGGCAGGGCAGAGGGGCCGTGGGGGCATTGAGGAACAGAGTGGGGAGGAAAGCTTCAGAACGAATCCCAGCCCCAGCCCCACTTCTAGAGGCTCCAGGCTGGCCTCAGAGCTGTGATGGCACCCATCCCACTGGGGGGACACGATCCAGCACACACCTGCAGGCAGAGCACCGTGCGCCTGCCAACAGGGAAATCAGGAATAACCTCAGAGCTCTGCAGCTGGGATAAGGGTCAAGCGACTCTGAGGGAGGCCACAGTCCCTCTGAACTCCCTTTTGACCTAACCCCTGTTCCTACACTTGCACTTGCTAAGCCATCAGACAGCCCTTGCTGTGCCACCCAGACAGCAGAACCACCCAGAAGTGGAGGAGCTGCAATCCCCAGGCAGAAATGGGGTTTGTCTCCTGTCACCACCTCATCCTCCCCTTGCTGCCAGCAGCAGGCACAGGCAGGGCCAGCACAGGTGCAGCAGCACCTTCTCCTTCACATTCCTGATCCAGGAGGGATGGCTGATCCTGGAGCACTCTACAGGCAAAACTTCCAGCACAACCTTCCCTTTCAGAAACAAGAGCCCAAAGGGCCCACTGGATCATTTTAATGGAGCTGGCAAGAGGGACACATCTGCTGCTCTGTCTTTATGCCTTTAGTCACACTGTCCCCTTCTATCATCTCCCTTCGGGATGTGGGTGGTTTATCTCACATTGCCTTGGCACAGCACACAGTGCCTGACTGCTCACTGCAATCAGCCTCAGCAGGGCTGGCACACATGGGGACACGCTGGGACACGCTGGGACACTGGGACACGCTGCCTGAGGCCCAAGGGTTAAAACAAGCAGGAACCCCAAAGGCAGGGGATTTTTACACACGGCTTAATGAAGCAAACACAGCTTTCCTCAGCTGCCAGGACGCAGGAGTGTTTGACTTGGAGCAGTCAGGCTGAGCTGCAGGACCCCTCCTCCTGCCAAGCACAGCCCTCAGCCAAAGCAGGCTCCCAACGCCCTTCAGAGTGCACAAACCTGGTGCTGCAGGGACACCCCAGTGCCAGGGACACCCCAGTGCCAGGGACACCCCAATGCCAGGGACACCCCAGTGCCAGGGACACCCCAGTGCCAGGGACACCCCTGTGTGCAGGGACACCCCAGTGCCAGGGACACCCCACTGCACAGGGACACCCCAGTGCCAGGGACACCCCAGTGCCAGGGACACCCCAGTGCGCAGGGACACCCCTGTGTGCAGGGACACCCCAGTGCCAGGGACACCCCTGTGCCAGGGACACCCCAGTGCCAGGGACACCCCAGTGCGCAGGGACACCCCAGTGCCAGGGACACCCCAGTGCCAGGGACACCCCTGTGCCAGGGACACCCCACTGCACAGGGACACCCCAGTGCCAGGGATACCCCAGTGCCAGGGACACCCCAGTGCCAGGGACACCCCAATGCCAGGGACACCCCTGTGTGCAGGGACACCCCAATGCCAGGGACACCCCACTGCACAGGGACACCCCAGTGCCAGGGACACCCCTGTGTGCAGGGACACCCCTGTGCGCAGGGACACCCCAGTGCCAGGGACACCCCACTGCACAGGGACACCCCAGTGCCAGGGACACCCCAGTGCCAGGGACACCCCTGTGTGCAGGGACACCCCTGTGTGCAGGGACACCCCAGTGCCAGGGACACCCCTGTGTGCAGGGACACCCCTGTGTGCAGGGACACCCCAGTGCCAGGGACACCCCTGTGTGCAGGGACACCCCAATGCACAGGGACACCCCTGTGTGCAGGGACACCCCAGTGCCAGGGACACCCCTGTGTGCAGGGACACCCCTGTGTGCAGGGACACCCCTGTGCGCAGGGACACCCCAGTGCCAGGGACACCCCTGTGTGCAGGGACACCCCAGTGTGCAGGGACACCCCTGTGTGCAGGGACACCCCAATGCCAGGGACACCCCTGTGTGCAGGGACACCCCAGTGTGCAGGGACACCCCTGTGTGCAGGGACACCCCTGTGCGCAGGGACACCCCAGTGCCAGGGACACCCCTGTGTGCAGGGACACCCCTGTGCGCAGGGACACCCCAGTGCCAGGGACACCCCTGTGTGCAGGGACACCCCTGTGTGCAGGGACACCCCTGTGCGCAGGGACACCCCAATGCCAGGGACACCCCACTGCACAGGGACACCCCAATGCCAGGGACACCCCAGTGCCAGGGACACCCCAGTGCCAGGGACACCCCTGTGCCAGGGACACCCCAATGCCAGGGACACCCCTGTGTGCAGGGACACCCCTGTGTGCAGGGACACCCCAGTGCCAGGGACACCCCTGTGTGCAGGGACACCCCTGTGCGCAGGGACACCCCAATGCACAGGGACACCCCTGTGTGCAGGGACACCCCAGTGCCAGGGACACCCCAGTGCCAGGGACACCCCAGTGTGCAGGGACACCCCAATGCACAGGGACACCCCTGTGTGCAGGGACACCCCAGTGCCAGGGACACCCCAGTGTGCAGGGACACCCCTGTGTGCAGGGACACCCCAATGCCAGGGACACCCCTGTGCGCAGGGACACCCCAATGCCAGGGACACCCCTGTGCGCAGGGACACCCCTGTGTGCAGGGACACCCCACTGCACAGGGACACCCCTGTGCGCAGGGACACCCCAGTGCCAGGGACACCCCAGTGCCAGGGACACCCCTGTGTGCAGGGACACCCCTGTGTGCAGGGACACCCCAGTGCCAGGGACACCCCAGTGCCAGGGACACCCCTGTGCGCAGGGACACCCCAATGCCAGGGACATCCCTGTGCGCAGGGACACCCCAGTGCCAGGGACACCCCACTGCACAGGGACACCCCAGTGCCAGGGACACCCCAGTGCCAGGGACACCCCTGTGCGCAGGGACACCCCTGTGTGCAGGGACACCCCAGTGCCAGGGACACCCCAGTGCCAGGGACACCCCAGTGCCAGGGACACCCCTGTGTGCAGGGACACCCCAATGCCAGGGACACCCCAATGCCAGGGACACCCCAGTGTGCAGGGACACCCCAATGCACAAGGACAGGCAAGGGGCACTCCTGCTTGGCCCTGAGCTGCTGCATTTCCAAACCCTGCAGATTCTTAACACAGATTCCAGCCACATATTTTGAACTGCCTTTTCTGCAGTGAATGTCACAGGACACACATAAACCAGATGATTCCTGGGCTTTTCTTAAAGAGAAAGACCAGAGGGTTTCGCTGAGCCCTCCTCATCCTCACCACCTACATCTTTTTGTGAACACAGAGAGGGAAGTGGAAAGCAAAGTGCTGCACACCAGCGTTGCAGGCAGTAAGAGGAAAGGTTTCTGCAGCACACAGAGAGGCCCTGAGAACACAACATGACAGAGAAACCCAACGAGTATCAGGGCTCCAAATTGCCGGGGTTTGTGAAATCTAAAGGTTATGGGACAGCTACCCAACCAAAACAGACACCTTAAACAACTCACTGCGCTCCTCACCAGCTGCCCTGCCACGCCGCTCGCTCTTGGAAATTCAGAGCATATTTCTGTTTCTATCTGCCTTGCTTTTGGCCGGGGCCAGGCTGCAGTGCAGCAATCAGCCCCGATCTGCAATTCCCTGGTGCCACCTCGGTGCCTGCAATCAGATCAGGCTGTCCCTGGCCCGCAGTGCTGTGACACAAAGACAAACTGCCACAGCTGCGTCCCGGGGATCCTTCCTGCAAATCAGTTAATTAGCTGCAGCCAAGGAGGAAAAATATGTTCCAATGTTCATTAGTTATTTAACAACACGAGTTGTGTTTTCCATATTAATTACATGTTCTGGATAAAGGCTGTTGCCAAAATACCGGCCATAAATGGCACTGCTGGCAGTCTCCAGCTACGAGGGCTTTGTTCTCCTCATGCCCAAGGTTCTGACCCAGCAGAGGAGTCAGAGCAGAAATGGGGGTCTGTGTCAGGTACAGCTCAGGCCCCTCAGCCTTCTGCCTTTACCAGCTCCAGCTGGTACCTCTCTCTGGAATCCATAAGGAGGAACCAAAGGGACAAAGCTGGTTTCAACTCACAGCTGAACTATTCCTGCACAAAACCATTCATAAGCATCTCCACTTCAGAATGAAAGTCATCCACTTCCATTCTGATTAAAATCAGTGTGGCTTTGGTTCTCTCCATCCAGACTCCACAGGGTGACTTGCATCAGAACAGCAACAAGACTGAGTTAAAATCAATGCGGTTGTTTTGGCTTAAGTTTGAGACAGTGAATGCCTGAGAAGCCTGTAAAAAATTGAAGTTTGCACCCGGTACACAGAATCCCCCTTGGAGAGGCTTAAAAAGCAGCCTTGCCAGGGCACGGATGAGCTGTGGGTAAAGGCCTGGCCAGAGGCAAGAAAATCAACTTCCCTGTGTGACAGCAAAGTGACATTTCTGCCACAGCAGCAGCCTGGTGCCCTGTGAGCCAGGCCCCATCCCGTGTGTGGCTGTGCCAGCAGGCACAGCTCCCGTGCCGCTCGCGGGCACCAGCGCGGGCACAGAGCACACACAGCAGCAGCTCGGCCCCAGGGTGGCCCCAGGCACCCGCAGACCCCCGAGCGGGGACAGCCGGGTCTGTTCACCTGCCGGCTCAGGAACAGAGCTCTGAGCCGGAGCTGCTGGCACCAAGCACACGTGAGGTGACCCCGAGTGCCCCACAGCCCTTTCCCCGTGCTTTTGGAGTGTGTCCCCTCCCTGCTCCCCCTGCTGCATGGCACAGCCAGTGAGTTACCTCAGCAGCAAGGCAAACACACAGCTCCTCCCGCTGCCCCCGTTTCCCAGTCAAACCAGCTTGTTTCACCATTCCAGCCCGTTCTGCTCAGCACACGGAGCAAGGCAGTGAGTGGCAGCACTCTCAGCCCCTGTGAGGACGAGCAGCCTCACCCTGGTCGCTGCCTGCAGTGGGAGCTCAGCACAGCGCTGACCCCAGGGGTCCCCAGGGATGGCCTGTCCCCTGGCTGGGCTCAGAGCAGGCTCTCCACAGCTATGCAGCCCAGCCCTTGTCAGCCTCTCCTTGCTGTGCGTCTGTCATGCTGCTGCTGTAATTAATCCTAATTAGTCACCACCCCTAACACAGCTTGTGACATTCAACCATCAACAACGCGCTCCCAAATCTCACACAGGCTTTTTAATCTGATCTGCTGTCCACCCACACTGCAGGTCTCACAACAATCAAATCCTTCAGCAGCCAGTGCAGGAGCCAACCTGTTAAGCGGAGATTTACGGCAGAAATTTCAAATACAATCATTCACGCTCTGTTGTTTAGACCAGTTTTTCAAAAAGATGAAATAGAATGATTGTTTAGGAATAAACCTACTGCAGCATTATTTATGTACCAGTTACAGATACTACCAAAGAAAGCAAGTATATTATCTCAATTTTCCAACAAAAGGCAAATTTTATATGGTTTTTTTACTCCTAAACCACAAATAAAATAATTTTTTAAAAAAACTTGCTACTGGGCAAGAGGCAGAAGCAACACAAAGGCTTTTACTACTCTGCTATGAAAACCTGCTTGAAGAGCCGTGTCCTGACTAACAGCACACGATCTCCCTGGGAGGCACAGACAGCTCTGCAGCCAAAGTGCTCCTGGGGCAGCAGCTCCCCTATGAGCCAAAGCTTTCTGCATTCCCCAGCAGAAGGTGGAGTTGAGCCATCCCTCCAGGGCTCACAGGGGCAGGGAGGCGTCCAACAGACAACGAGGCCAGCTCAGAGCCACTGGTGCCTGGAAATCACCAACCCAGGGTGTGAGCAGGGCCAAAAGGTGACGAGGAGCCCGAGCCCCAGCAGGTGAGGGCACTGCAGGCACAGGGATCTGAGCGGATCCAACACCCCACTGCCCCAGGGGTGAGGGCACTGCAGGCACAGGGATCTGAGCGGATCCAACACCCCACTGCCCCAGGGGTGAGGGCACTGCAGGCACAGGGATCTGAGCGGATCCAACACCCACAGTGCCCCAGGGGTGAGGGCACTGCAGGCACAGGGATCTGAGCGGATCCAACACCCACAGTGCCCCAGGGGTGAGGGCACTGCAGGCACAGGGATCTGAGTGGATCACACCCCAGCAGGTGAGGGCACTGCAGGCACAGGGATCTGAGCGGATCCAACACCCCACTGCCCCAGGGGTGAGGGCACTGCAGGCACAGGGATCCGACGGGATCACACCCACAGTGCCCCCCCAGGCTCCAGGGAAGCAGCTGGGCACCAGGACCCAGCCCCCGGCCTCCGGCACTGCCACCCCCAGTGAGGAGAGAGGATCTCCCAAAGGATGGAGGGGAAGGATGGGCCACGCTGCAGGACAGCCAGGGCAGAGCCTCCTCAGACCGGCTCTGACAAATGCCTGTGCTCCCCAGGCTGGGGAACGGTGGGATGGGCTCGTGCTCACCGTGTAGAGCTCATTGGTGACTTTCAGGAGCTCCTCGTGCATCTGGAGGCCAATCTCCTTGCTCTGCAAGACAAAAACAAGAGAGGTGACACTGTTACGCTCAAAACACACAGATCTAAAATGAAAATACATTTCAGAGGAATCATAAACATGAATGCACAGCACAGCAGAGTCTCATGCAGTTTCAGAGCGGCTGTGTATTCATTTGAGGTTGATGTTTGCCCATGGATCACCCAAACTGGGTTTCAGAGACCATGAGGAGGAATTTCATACAATTTAACCTATTTACCCTGCAAAACAGATGAATCTAAAATTACAGGCAATACTGCTTTGCCCTTCCACTGGTAAAATTCATTCCCAGCCCACAGCCAACTCCCCATGTGGGTATAACACACATCACTGTCCCCAGTTTGGGGACTGACACAGACTCACTCTGAGACTGGCAGGGTGTACATCATCTAACAGCCTTTTGCGTGCCCTAGGTTGGCATTCTCCAGCCCCACAGCATCACCCATCACTCTGTCTTGATCTGAAAACTCTGCTGCTCTGTGATTAAACACATCTGCTGCTGGACCTGCAATTGCAGCCAACACTGCTGCTTCAGAGCCAAGACTACCAGGGCTCCCCAGCACCGGCATCCCAGGTTCACAATTCCCTTGGCCGTGACCCAGCCCCCAGCTCCTCCTCAGTAGCTCATTTTCACTATTCTGACCCGAGCGAACCAAAGCATGAAAAGGGACATTACAAAATAGCTGCACCACAGTTATATAATAAAGTCTCCAGTTTCACAACAGCAGCAGCCAAAGTTCAGCCAGTTGAGGAGACAGTGCCAGTGAGGAACTCCTGGCATCCTCCTGTCTGCTGAAATGCCAATATCAGGCTGTGTTTTCCCTTCCTTGCCAGGCAGGATGAGGCAGCTGCAGCTGCCAGCCTCCCAGAGCATGGACACAGCCCTTCATGGGGAGCTGCCCAGCGCTGGGGCTTGGCTGCACATCACACCAGCTCCAGCAGCTGGAGGAGCTGGGGTGCGCTCACACTGCTCTCCTGCCTGCCTCTAATGACGCCACAAATCTCTCCGTGGAATCTTCCTGGCTAGGAAATACTTATTACAGCTTGAAGATGTGTTTAAACTAAGTATAGACACCCCCCTCCTCCCTCCCCTAAACCAAACCAAAACAACACTGAGCGGTTTCTCCCAGATCTCCTCAAATAACTCCAGAAAGTTTTGTGCACGTGGGCAGGGAAAACAACATTCCAGCAGGCTGGGTGATGAGAGAAGCCCGCAGCACAGAAAGGTCCTCTAATTCCAGTCAATGGGACAACCTACAGACTTTGACAGCTTAATCTAGATCATTAGAAGTTAGACTTAAAGCCTGGAGCAAGGAGTCTACAGGGTGACAGTCCCACCCGTAAGCACGGTGTGTCTGAGCTGGTGCCAGGGCACCTGGGACAGCCCCAGCCTCAGAGCCTGACTGAGCACACTGCTCCCACCCCATGGGCACCGGGGGGTGCCAGGATGCCGCCAGTGACCACAAGGCTGCACCTCAGTGGAGCCCACGGCCACCAGGAACCCTCATCTGGACTGGAGCCCAGTCCCTGTGCCCTGCCCACCAACACTGACGGTCATCACCGCTCCCAAACGTCTCACTGGGCTTAATTCACAACACAGCTGTGACAGATGTGCACGGCCCAGACACAGCCCAGAGACGTCTGGGGACCTCCTCACTCTCTACAGCTCCCTGACAGGGGGTGCAGCCAGGTGGGGGCCAGGGGACAGGAAAAGAGAAAACAGCCTCAAGTTGTACCTGGGAGGTTTAGGTTGAATATTTGGGAAAAAATTCTTCTCCATTCCTGGAGGAATTTAAAGGCTGTGTGGATGTGGCACTTGGGGACATGGTGGCCTTGGCAGTGCTGGGGGAAGGGTGGGACTCCATGGTCCCAGAGAGCTTTTCCAACCCAAACCATCCTGTGATTCTAATGTGAGTTGTTGCAGTCAGGGTCTCCAAACTGGGCTTGGAGCCCACAGCCTGCAGGGTCACACACACCCTGCAGCCATCCCTGCTGCCAGGGTCAGGCCCAAGCCACGGCTTCCCAAGGGGAGGACAGCACAGGACAGCACAGCACAGCACAGGACAGCACAGCACAGCACAGGACAGCACAGCACAGCACAGGACAGGACAGGACAGGACAGCACAGCACAGGACAGCACAGGACAGCACAGGACAGCACACACAGGACAGCACAGGACAGCACAGGACAGCACAGCACAGCACAGGACAGCACAGCACAGCACAGGACAGCACAGCACAGCACAGGACAGGACAGGACAGGACAGGACAGCACAGCACAGGACAGCACAGGACAGCACAGCACAGGACAGCACAGCACAGGACAGCACAGGACAGCACAGCACAGCACAGGACAGCACAGGACAGCACAGCACAGCACAGGACAGGACAGCACAGGACAGCACAGCACAGCACAGGACAGCACAGCACAGCACAGGACAGCACAGCACAGCACAGGACAGCACAGGACAGGACAGGACAGCACAGGACAGCACAGCACAGGACAGCACAGCACAGGACAGGACAGCACACACAGCACAGCACAGGACAGGACAGCACAGGACAGCACAGGACAGGACAGGACAGGGCAGCACAGGACAGCACAGGACAGCACAGGACAGGACAGCACAGCACACACAGCACAGCACACACAGCACAGCACACACAGCACAGCACAGGACAGGACAGCACAGGACAGGACAGCACAGGACAGGACAGCACAGGACAGGACAGCACAGGACAGCACAGCACAGCACAGCACAGGGCAGGACAGCACACACAGCACAGGACAGCACAGGACAGCACAGGACAGCACACACAGGACAGCACAGGACAGCACAGGACAGCACAGGACAGCACAGGACAGCACAGGACAGCACAGCACACACAGCACAGGACAGCACAGCACAGCACAGGACAGCACAGGACAGGACAGGGCAGGACAGCACACACAGCACAGGACAGCACAGGACAGCACAGGACAGCACAGGACAGCACACACAGGACAGCACAGGACAGCACAGGACAGCACAGGACAGGACAGCACAGCACAGGACAGCACAGCACAGGACAGGACAGCACAGCACAGGACAGGACAGCACAGGACAGGACAGCACAGGACAGCACAGGACAGCACAGCACAGGACAGCACAGGACAGCACAGGACAGCACAGGACAGCACAGGACAGCACACACAGCACAGCACAGGGCAAGACAGGCTGGTGGCAGCAGCTGGGGCCAGCCTGAGCTCCAGCCCTGCCTCTGCCCTGGATTTCCTGCACCATGCAGGGCAGGGCCACAGAGCTGTAATTTTCAAACCCAATTTTAGACTCTGAAATAGAGCAACACAAACTGGCTCAGTTGCTGCTCCATGAGCTACACCTGCACAGGCAGCCACAGGTGGGGAGCACAGTCAAAGAGCCGATTGCTTGCAGACGCTAACCCGACACCTGGCCCTGCTGCAAAGGGGCTGCAGCATCACTGGGAGGCTCCCAGCACCCCAGGGGGCAGTGAGGACGAGTGAGGATGCTGCAGCCTCCTCCAAGCTGAAGGACTTGCCTCTCCTCCAAGCCTGCTGCCTTCCCTTTCTCCAATGGAGAAATTATATTTGTGTACTGACAGGGGACACCACCCAAACATCATTCCAGTTCCTGGGACCATCCACAAAACCTGAACTACAATTTAGGTGCTTCCTTTAGGCCTCACATTCCTCCTAAAACCCACAGCTGCTCACTGAGACAGCAGCGGCTTCAAGTTAGCAATTTATTAAAATTCCTGCCATGCTGGGGCAGCAGCAGCATGGATGACTGGCAATGGACATCCAAGACAAAGACAAGAGCTCCCATCCAGACACTGCTTCTTCATCCAACCTCCATCCAGGACAAAGCAGCACGGGCTGTAATTAAATTCACTCTTGCGGCACATAATTAAATCCCACACTGGGGAATAAGCCAGCACCCTTATTTTGGACATAGCAATGCTCTGTCTCAAACATGTAATTTCCTGCGTCCCATACCTGGAAGAAGCATCATACTTCCTTCCCTCTGCACAGCAGAAGGTCAGAGTGGAGCAAACACCGGCCTGGCAATGGGTGCCTCACCCTGGGTTTGAGTGTGCCAGGACACCTGGGGTGGACAGGGACAAACTGCCTGTTCAGGGACAGGGGGACACTGGGGTGGACAGGGACAGGAGGACACTGGGGTGGACAGGGACAAACTGCCTGTTCAGGGACAGGGGGACACTGGGGTGGACAGGGACAGGGGGACACTGGGGTGGACAGGGACAAACTGCCTGTTCAGGGACAGGGGGACACTGGGGTGGACAGGGACAGGAGGACACTGGGGTGGACAGGGACAAACTGCCTGTTCAGGGACAGGGGGACACTGGGGTGGACAGGGACAAACTGCCTGTTCAGGGACAGGGGGACACTGGGGTGGACAGGGACAAACTGCCTGTTCAGGGACAGGAGGACACTGGGGTGGACAGGGACAAACTGCCTGTTCAGGGACAGTGACCCCACCTGCGCCAGGCTCAGCCAGGGAAGCAGAGGGAGCAGCAGCTCAGCACCCACATCTCTCCAGGCAGATTGCCACGTGTGAGCTCCTTGGTTATGCTCACCCTGTACCCCTGAGCCCTCCCCACCCCTCCTAGGGACTGTTAACATTTACATAATGAGTGCAGGAAACACAAAACCTCCTGGCTCCCCATGTCCCTGCAGCGTGTCACAGGCCATTAATAAACTCTAGATGGGAAGAATTAAAAGTGACATTTCTGGAAAAAAATGCTACTCTAATTTACCATCAAAGAGCAATCTCCAGCACATGCAGCAGCTGAACCACGACTGCTTTAACCCTTCTGCAGCCAGGTTATCTGCCAGCAGCCTCGCACAGCCTGGCCCCCCTTGGAGGGCTTTACCCACCACACTCAAAGCCGGACTGGACACCGGAACACTCAGGACACTCAATGTACGTCCTTGTTTGCAAGCTGGCTGAATTTGTCCTGTGTTTCCAAACGAGACACATCATCCCCAGACATGGACGGGGAAAGCGGAAACACAGTTTAAATATAAATCTCAAAAGCCAGTTCAGAGCAAAACGCGAATGGGAGGAACATTTTGAGACAGAACTGGACTAACCAACATCTACCAAGTATCTCCATTTCTGGAGGGCAGGAGAACAGGAAAAGGGATGATATCCCACATCAAATCAGCCAACACAAACCTGACCTTGCAGTTTGATTTCTAGGTCAGATCTATAAACTAGAGGAAACTGGCCATAAAAATATCACATGAAATTTATTCTCCAGTCAGGCTGAAATTTCAAGATAAGCCCTGATTATGAGCCTTCTCCTGCTGCAGAGGCAGGTGCCCTGTGGCTCACCCTGCTCCCCCACTACAGTCCCCTGATGAAAACAAGGCCACAGAGCCTCCCCTCTGCTGGGACCCTTGGTGCTCTTACCACACTCCTCACCTTCAATGAACAGCTCTGGTCCACCTGACTGTGTGATTCTCAGAAGTCTCTGATGCTCCTTTTTAATTTGGTTATCATTAATAATTCTGTATCATCAGCAGATTTTGTCATCTTACTGTTCAGGCTTTTTCCAAATAATTTATTAGGAACTGCACTGGAACTCTTCTTCTCTTTTTTCCTGCCTTTTAACTAATCATTAATCCAGAAAACAACCCCTCTCTACTCTTCAACAGCTTTTCAAGAATTTCAGCTAAGGCCCTTTTCCAGCGAAGGCCCTACAACCTGCTAATGACAATCTCTGGCTCCTGGAAATAGCTCCACTGAATTTCTGAGGCATGGCTCTTGCCCCAGGAAGCACAGTGACTCCTTCTACTGCCTCATGGCTGTCATGCTGCTCCTGAGCAAGGTTCCACCCAACACGCTGCTCTGACCTGCTCCCTGAGCCCTCCAAAGAGTCTTGGGAAGAAGCCAGCCTGTTTCCACCTCTCCCTTCTCTGGCACTGACACTGAGCACCAGGTCACACCTCACACTCCAGACGTGGCAGGTCTAGATCTCAGTTTCCTTCAAACTCCAGGATAAATAATACCTGGGACGACTTTTAGCGATAGTCCCTTGCGAGGTTTGCTGTGCAACACTGATAACAATTCTATTTCAGACACAAATGCCAGGATGGAGGCTCACGAAGCAGGGCTGCCCAGTCACCTTTTTGAAGAGCCTGATGACATCCTCGCTGATCTGGGACAGCCGGACGATGACATTGTTCATGAAGATGTCGTTCAGCGTGGCGTGGTCTCGGCTCTCCCGACGCGTCTGCGTCAGAACCAGGTACCAGCAGTTCACAGGGGACAGCAGGTGCTGATCTTTCCTAGAGAATCGTGGAAAAGTAAAATCAAAAATGCCAGGTGTACACGTCAAAAAGGCACCCATTTTCAAATGAACGCTGTGGGCACATCACCGCCCTCCCCTGCACACAGCCACTGAGATCTGGGGCATGATCTCCTCTTCCAGCTGTACCAGCCCAGCCATGCAGGCACGTCCAGTGCCACACAAGCACCTGTGCCACACCAGGCCCCCAGCCAGCCCTTCCCAAACTGTGCTCTGGCAGATGGCACAGGAGAAGAGACATCCCTGGAAAGGGAGAGAGTTTTGCTCGTTCTTTCCCCTCGCAGCACCAATACAGCTGTCACTGCTGCAGAATGGCCCCTTGCCCCAGGACACTGTGCTGGCCTTAGTGCACTGAGAAGCGCTCACAAAAGGGTTCTGCATCCAATGTTACCTCAGCGTGTCTGTGCACAGCACGAACACACCCAGGTATGCTGCGGGGGACAGCGTGGACACTGCAGAGCCCCGGGCATGCCCACACAGACAGAACAACGGCCTGCAGACAGCAGGACGAGCCCTGGCCCCGGAGGCACCACGATGGCCAGAGGCAGGCTGGGCACAGCCCGCTGCACACGGCTGCACGGGGACAAGGCAGCACTGCAGGGACGGGAATGCCCAGAGTCACAGCCTCATCACAACAATGACACACGTGAGCAGCGGGGAAGGGCTGCAGATGGGCCTGCTAAGGGCAGGTACACAGCAGGCTGGAAGATAAAAATGTATGAAGGGAATCTATGGGCATGGAATGGACAGCGAGGACTCAGCAGGAGAGAGCACTGAAATCAAGCTGACCCAATTAACACCTCCAGCACTTGTGCTCAGGTCCTTTAGAACCGTGGAGAACCGCTTGTCACCTGTGGACACTGCACAGCAGCAGTTCTAGAATTGCAAGCAATGCAAAGTCCCAATACTGCTCTGAGCTAATGGGTGAGGCCAGACACCCCCTGAGCCTCTGTGGGCTCCACCTCTGAGCCAGAGCTCCTTCAATTCCTCGGTGCACAGGGCAGCACCCAGCACCACACAACCAACACACAACAGCCAGACGCCAAAAGGACAGAGACGATCTGAACAGCAACTCATCAGCAGCAGAGCTTGGCATAAGACAGCAGTAAAGCCTCACACCAGAGAGACCGAGTAAACAGATTAAACGGGATTTAGTAATATGGAATAAATAGGATTTAGCAATGTAACAGCAAAAATCACTGCTCTTGCGGCTGAAACAGGAAAAAAATCACCAGGGGTTAGAGGAAGAAACAGACTGTGAAGAGCCTGGGGCTGGTGAGGAGAAGGGCAGCAAGCAGGCAAAGCCCAGGCTCTGTGAAAGGCACAGAACAGCAGCTGCAGCCTTTGGCCACTGAACTGAAGGACATGAGTTTCATCTGCAACAAAGGGCACAGTTCCAGCTGAGAGACTTTCACGGACACCGCTGGCAGAAACAGAGACGGGGACAAACACTGTGGCCCAGGAGGCAAAGGTGGAGAGCTCGGGCTCAGGTGCTGCAAGGAGAGCAGCCAGGAGCAGCACCCGGCTCCACGCTGCCAGTGCTGCCACACGGTCCCAGGGCACAGACTGTGCCGGGCCCCTCTGGCCTGGCACACACGGGGAGCAGGGACCAGCCCCCAGGTGCGAGGGGCAGTGGCCTCCACAGGGCCTTGAGGTCAGCAGCCAGCAGAATGGCACAAGCCAGTATCCTCACCACAGAGCAGTCACCTCCAAAATGAAATTCTGAGTCAAGGTTGTTTTTCTTTCTATTTTTTCAGATATTTTCTGGTTTAGCCAAGCTCACAAGTGTGGTTAAACTGAAAAGAAGCTGCTTTTCAAAACACATATTTACATATTCATGGATTTCACAATTGCATCACTGGTTTGATTCTCACACAATCCTAGGACTCAGTTCATATTTCCTACTTCAAAGTTTTGTTTCACAATATTTCCACTAAGGATCCGCCTCCCTCCAACACCATACGGCTAAGCACAGAAAAAGCACATACTTTATTGCAAATAAAGTGCAGTACACTCCATTTCCAGAAACTGCTTCCAACCCTGAGCCTGCCAGCGAGCTTGCATGAAACACACAGCACCTGGACAGCTGATGACTGGGCTACACACAAAAACCAGGGCTATAGACCAGGCCCACCACTATTTGCACAATCAAATCAGTGGCTGAATTCATGACCCTTCAAAAAATCAAGGGGTTTGATTCCTTCCCAGTCCCCAGTTCCTATTTTATTGTATTGCTCAGGAAGTGCAATTCACGCAGCACAGGTCAGCGACGCTGCGGTGGAAGTCTCGGACAGACAAACGTCCAAATGTTCCTTCTGTGAGCCCCGCAGGGACGAGACAGACGAGGTGCCGGCTGATGTGACTTCACTCCGCTTTAGGACCGCGACGGACAGAGCAACCCCAGTGCCCACAGCAGCCCTGCCCCCGGAACAGCCACTCACTTGAACTGGTGCTCCCTGGAGCTGCGGATCTTGGAGGAGAAGCGCTCGGCCAGCTTCTCCAGGCTGCGCGAGTACTCCAGCTCGATCTCGGCCTTCCTGCGGAAGAACTCCTGCAGGTCCTGCAGCAGCTGCAGCCGCGACTCCGACTGCTGCTCCAGGCATTTGAACTGCTCCACCAGCTGCGTTCGGATCTCTGCAGGCACAGCACAGGACAGGAACAAGACATCAGCTACGGACACTGGCCAGGAGGGTTCTCCTCCCTTGTCCCAGAGCCAACAGCACAGCTCTGCTGGAGCTCCCTCCAGGCCCTGAATTCTCCCAGGGCTCAGTAAGGCCACGGGATCTGCTGCCCAAGAGAGAGCAGAACAGTGCCACCGACCAGCCTCACATTAAACCTTATTGATTTGTCAAAGCAAACGGTCTTACCACACTGAGACCAACCCCAGAGCTCTCAATTGCCTTTTGAAACCAGAAAACCATATTTCTATCTGTCTGGTACTACCTGAAATCACACACTATTCTCATATAAACTAACGTTTTATTTCTTGATAAATGTCCACGTGAATACCTTCAAGACAGCCAGCAGTGACCTTAAGGAAGCTGGCACTGCCATGCACCCTTCTCTCACCCCATCCCCCTGCACTGCCGGGTTTAACAACAAATCAACCCAGCTTTGGCTCAAAGGCTTAAAAAGTCTTTCACACCCTCCAAATCCCGGCTCAGAAACACCAAAGGTTTCATCTGTTCATGTTTATTTGCTTTCCCCTGAGGACCCTCAGACACCAGGACAGACACACACTGCAGCCCCTGTGACCTTTCCCCAGGTGGGCTCAGCAGCACTGGAGGTGCCTGTGGAGCGTGGGATGGGCTCCTCGGGCAGCTGGTGTCACCTGGGGCAGCTGGTGCCTCCCACAGCACCTGGGGCAGCACCTGGGGCAGCACCCGGGGCAGGCACCTGGGGCAGCTGGTGCCTCCCACAGCACCTGGGGCAGCACCCGGGGCAGCACCCGGGGCAGCACCCGGGGCAGCACCCGGGGCAGCACCCGGGGCAGCACCTGGGTCCCTGCTGCATCCTGCAGGAACAGCACTGCAGGAACAGCTGAGCTCCAGCGCCGGCCCTGCCTGGCACTGTCAGAACCCAGCCCCTCAGTTCAAATCCCCCACTCGGGGGATGCTGATCCCAGCAAGACAGGCAGGGAAGGGAGAGCTGCTCACGGGCACAGCCAGACCCCTTGCCCTGTCTGCAAGAGAAGCCACACAGCACCTGTGGCACAGGATGCGATGGAAATATTCCTCCCCAGCTCCTCCCAACCCCGGGCAGGGTTTCTGCAGCTCTGTGAAGCGCACCTGGCCAGGAGCCTGTGCAGGAGCTGCTCACTCTCCCTGGAGCACAGCTGAGCTCTGCAGGAGGGCGTGTGCAGAGCTGAAGGGAGAGGGAAAACGAGACTAGACCATAGGAAAATCTATTCCAACTGAGAACAATTGGGCTGAGCCGGCTGCAGGGGCAGCTGCACGGCAGAGGGATCAGAGGAGCTGGAATGGCAGGGTCGTGATGGAACGGGTCCATGTGCTGCTCCCAGAGCCCCCGGGACAGGGGAGAGCCGCCCCAGCTCCCCACCACCACTCACCCCTGCCCTGCACAAGGCAGGTGGGCACAGCTGAGGTGAGGAGCTCCTGCACCTGCTCACCTTGAGAGCCTCCACTCCTCCCCTCATGTGCCCAGACCAGCCACGGCACTTGTGGCCATTTCAGTCCACCTAGAGGAACAGCCTCTTTTACAAGCAACCCATGACTCACAGGATGTCCTTTGCCTTTCCCTAAGGCTTGTGAGATCTGTTTTTCTCACTTTGCTCACCTGACACTGGTGAGCAGCCAAGGGCCCCAGCAGAGGAGGATGGTGAGGCAGAGCAGGGATGCTCAGCACAGCTGCTGCCTCTGCCCAGACAGGGCTTTCCCTGGCACTCTGGGCATCTGCTGCACACACACACACTGACACCAGCCCTCACTCACAGCCAGCTGCAGAACTCCAGAATGAAGGACGATTCCACTCCGCTGAGAATGCTAGAGATGCCTTCAAAATCAAATTCTCTGCTAAAAGAATGCAGGAATGGATGGTAAATTGCAAATGAGGTCTCACAACAACTTCTATCAGTGCCTCAGTCTTTATTCTCTCTGTTCCCAGTTTGCTGGAGCCCAGCTCTCTCTGTCCCTGGCACACTTTGACCTTTGTCAACAGAATTTCTTTGTTTTTCCCATGCCCACAATGTGTTGATTTGACACTTCTGTTTCCTTGCAGGAGTTCAGCCAGGTCAGTGCCAGCCCAGCACGCAGAGGCAAAGGACAGGCCCTGTGGGCACAGGGAGCCGCCAGCTGTGACCCTAAAGCCGCCCAGTGACAAGCCATCACACCAACAGTGGAGATGGGCACTGACCCCAGGGCTGCTGCTGCATGCTAAACGGGAAGGGCTTGCGTAGAAAACAAAATGCAAAGCTGCTGGCATCACCACTGCAAAGACAGACGTGGCAGCAGAGAGAAGGACACTGCTCAGTGCTCCAAGGGTCCCTGACGGTCACCACGCCAGGGGACAGCGCCAATAGCTCCTGCACTGCTTGCAGCCATGCTACATCCATCCTGTCCCTTGTGGGGGCATCCACAGGCCTGCAATTCCAACCTTCAACCAACTGCTTTCCACGGTAGATAATCTTCCCTTCAGCAACAAACCCCAAAACTTTACCTCTGGCTCGTCAGCTGGCATCAGCCACCATGGAAGCCAACCCCAGCAGAAGGAAGGACAGCAGGATACCCTGCAGAGCTCATGGACAGGCAACACACGGGAAGTTCAGGATGGGCTATTAAATAAATCCAATTCTCCACAGGCAAACAGGGGAAAATCCTGGGCAGTTAAGACTTGCAAAGGCCGGAGCCTAAACTGACACAGGGGGGCCAGGGGAGCCTGCAGGGCGGGCTGGGTGCTGCAGCAGCCCGCACAGCACAGCCTGCCCCAGCCCGCACAGCACAGCCCGCCCCAGCCCGCACAGCACAGCCCCAGCCCGCACAGCCCCAGCCCGCACAGCCCCAGCCCGCACAGCACAGCCCGCCCCAGCCCGCACAGCACAGCCCCAGCCCGCACAGCACAGCCCCAGCCTGCACAGCACAGCCCGCACAGCACAGCCCCAGCCCGCACAGCACAGCCCCAGCCTGCCCCAGCCCGCACAGCACAGCCCCAGCCCGCACAGCACAGCCCCAGCCCGCACAGCACAGCCCCAGCCCGCACAGCCCCAGCCCGCACAGCCCCAGCCCGCACAGCACAGCCCCAGCCCGCACAGCACAGCCCCAGCCTGCACAGCACAGCCCCAGCCTGCACAGCACAGCCCGCCCCAGCCCGCACAGCACAGCCCCAGCCCGCACAGCACAGCCCCAGCCTGCACAGCACAGCCCGCACAGCACAGCCCCAGCCCGCACAGCACAGCCCCAGCCCGCACAGCCCCAGCCCGCACAGCCCCAGCCCGCACAGCACAGCCCCAGCCCGCACAGCACAGCCCCAGCCCGCCCCAGCCCGCACAGCACAGCCCCAGCCCGCACAGCACAGCCCCAGCCCGCACAGCACAGCCCCAGCCCGCCCCAGCCCGCACAGCACAGCCCCAGCCCGCACAGCACAGCCCGCCCCAGCCCGCACAGCACAGCCCCAGCCCGCACAGCACAGCCCCAGCCCGCACAGCACAGCACAGCCTGCCCCAGCCCGCACAGCACAGCCCCAGCCCGCACAGCACAGCCTGCCCCAGCCCGCACAGCACAGCCCCAGCCCGCACAGCACAGCCCCAGCCCGCACAGCACAGCCCCAGCCTGCACAGCACAGCCCGCCCCAGCCCGCACAGCACAGCCCCAGCCCGCACAGCACAGCCCGCACAGCACAGCCCGCACAGCACAGCCCCAGCCCGCACAGCACAGCACAGCCTGCCCCAGCCCGCACAGCACAGCCCCAGCCCGCACAGCACAGCCCCAGCCCGCACAGCACAGCCCGCCCCAGCAGCTGCGGACCGGAGCCCCCTCCTGCTCCTCCAGGAGATGCGTTTGGCACAGCACCCCCTCCGCAGCCCCGAGCCGCGCTCCGGCTGCTCAGACAGGGCCACACAAAGGCGGAGGTTTCTCTAGCAACGGGCTGGGACAGGGCAGCCGGAGCTGCGCCCCTCCCGAGCCGGCGGCAGCGGCACAAAGCCGGGTATGGAGCTCCGGCCACCCCCGGCACAAAGCCCGGCTCGGAGCTGGGGTGCAGCCCGCACACCCCGGCTGCTCCACCGCGCTGAATTATCCCAATCATCCATCCAGGAGAACAGCGTTGTCACGGATCCTCCCGCCGGGCAGCCTGAGACAGCCGCTCCTCTAACATATGCTTCACCCCACTGATTTGTGACAAGTGAGAAAATATGCTTGGCAACAAAAGCCATTATTTTCTCACAACTGGGATTAGACCCAATAGTTCATTGCAAATATAGCACAGCAAGCTGGACTCAGGGAGGATCCAATTCTTACATAAATACAACACACTAACAAGGCCATTTGACTCTCAATTGTTTTTATGCCCCCTTCAGAGTATCCTTGTCCTGCCTTCGCTAAAAGTCCAGCCCTCTCCATAACAGAAATACCTTGGGTGCATTTTCCAGCGCTTCGTCACCCCATGTGTGACCAGCACACGCGGTTTCCCCTGGAGAGCTCTCACACACAGAGCTGATGCAGCTCCTGGATCCATTGTGGAACCCCGGCCAGCGTTCCTTCCAGCAGGAGAGCCCCAGCTGCGGGCAGGGAAGCCAGCACAGCCCCAGAGTGTGGGCTCTCGGTGCCATGCCCAGGAGCCGGGCCCAGTCCCAGGCTGGCAGGGCGTTTTCCAGAGCCCACACGTGTCCCTGGCAGTGCTGGCACCTCGGGCACCGCCTGCCCTGCATGCAGCTCCGGGGCTGGCAGCAGCAGCAGAGGGATGCCAGGGACGGACACCGCACCCTCCCGGCAGGGCTGCAGCCGGCAGAGGCTTTGCCAGGCCCCAGCAGCGACAGCACTGGGCCCCAACAGCCACGGAGCTGCAGGCCCACGGCCTGGAGCATCCACAGACAAATGCCGGGGGTGCCTCCATCAGTACTGGGGAGCAGCCGGAGGGGACCTGCAGGGAAAGCAAACAGCCCAAAGCTGCCCAGGCCTCCC